GGAGGAGGAGGAGGAGGAGGAGGGGGGAGGGTGGGGGAGGGGGTTCGAGGCGAATGGCAAAGATGGGATGAATGGTGGAAAGAAAGGAGGCAGAGGAGACTTCACCGGCACATGTCCAAGAAGAAATCCCACCAGAGGGCCCATAGACGAGGAACGACTCGTTCAGGGAATCCTCCGCAGTCCCTGAAAGAAGCGAATAAATGAAGAAGTAATGCACAGCTCCTGCTCCTGCTCCTGCTCCTGCTCCTGCTCCTGCTCCTGCTCCTGCTCCTGCTCCTGCTCCTGCTCCTCCCCCTCCCACTGCTCCCCTCCATTACCGGAATCGCGTGCACCGCCAAGGTTTGACCCCAACCATGTGAAAAACCTTAGGAAGCAGAAATGAGCAGAAAATATAAACAGACATTCCATTCCCTTCCTGGAATCGAGAAGAGATGTGAAGGTGAAAGAGTGTAGCGATGGGGCTATTCCAGGGGAGAGGAGAGGGGAAATGGTGAAGGGAAGACACGAAAATGCAAGAGTTGTGGAGAGGAAAGTGAAGGGTTGAGGAGAAGCGGGCGCCCCTCTCCCCTCAAGGGTTTGGGGGACGAGAGGAGAGGACAGGAGAGGAGAAGAGAGGAGAGGAGAGGAGAGGAGAGGGGAAGAGTGGAGAGGACAGGACAGGACAGGACAGGAGAGTGAAGGAGAGGAGAGGGGAGGACAGGAGAGTGAAGGAGAGGAGAGGAGAGGGGAGGGGAGGGGAGGGGAAGATGTGAGGAAAAGCACCACAGATGTTTTACCTTTATGCTCCACCATTGGAAGTCAAGGAGCCAGTAAAAGGCTTCGGGATTTCCTGTCTTGCTTTTGACGAAATTGTAGATGTAAGGGAGACGATCCCATCGCTGAAACAGAACTCAGAATCTCCCCGTCCCCGTCCCCGTCCCCGTCCCCGTCCCCGTCCTCGTCCCCGTCCTCGTCCTCGTCCTCGTCCTCGTCCTCGTCTAACCCTATTGCTCACATCTGTCTCACTTTCTGTCTTCTGTCAATGATCATTAGCGCCTCGCATGTCTGTCCACTTTATCCTTCTCCTCCTTCTCCTCCTTCTCCTTCTCCTCCTTCTCCTCCTGCTCCTCCTTCTCCTCCTTCTCCTCCTTCTCCTCCCGCTCTTCCCTTCTGCCCCCCTCTCCAACCATAGTTTCTTTCTACCTGTCCGAAGTACGCATTGAGAAAGCCTTGATCTCCGTCGTCGTAAGAGGGAAGTTTGTGCATCTTCTCCTGCATGTCTTTGAAAGTCTCCAAGTTTGGCTCGAGCAGCATGAAGCCGCTGCAAGTTACAATCAAGTCAGACGCTCCTCCTGCTCCTGCCCCTATCCTCCTCCTCCTTTACTTCCTGCTCCTCCTTTTGTATCTCCCGCTCCTCCACAACCTGACTGGACCTCCTCTCCCTGTCCCAGTCACTTTCCGCCCGAGTTCCGCCTCCCATCCCTTCCTGCCTCCCCAACCTGTTAAAGAAAATAGGAGGGGCAACATCTGGAATGGCAGCGAAATTCTGAGTGAGAGGCCACTGCATGAGCTCGTCAATGTTTTGGACGACCTGAAGGAAATTCAAACGTAAGAAGAGAGGAGGAGAAAATGGGAGAGAGAAGGAATGGGTGGATGGAGAAGGGGGGAAGAGAGGAGGAGCAAGAGACTGCGAATAAGATTATGATGAGTGGAAATCGAGTAGGAAGAGAGGATGAAAAGAATGAAGGAGGAAGAGGAGGAGGAGGAGGAGGGGGGGGGATTTAGGTGGAAGAAATCGATGAAAGGGACAAAGCGAACAAAGGAGGAGAAGGAGAAAGAACAAGAGAGAGAAACGAACGAGCAGGGGCTATGAACAGGAAAGGAGGAGGGGGAAGAAGTACCAGTTGATCAGCATCAAGGAACACAACCCTCTCATACTCCACAAGGGTCCAAGCTTGCATCTTCGTGTACACCTGAGAGAAGTTGAGGAAGTTGTGAGGGAGTCACGATCGCTCTACCTGCTCCCATGACTTCTCCTCCAACTTCTGCTTGAAGGAGGCGAACGGGTTCGAGACGGCATCAACGTCCTTGACGACAATCTTGACGAGCAGGAGTGACAAGTGAGGAGGTGAGAAGTTGCAGTTGATGTCACCCCAGCATGGCGGAACATGGAGTGAACGTGTTTAGAGACCTGTGAGAAGCGATGAACAACAATGATGCGAAGATGGAGAGGGGAGGGAGAGGGAAACAGAGGGAAGCAGCGATGCAAGAAGAGGAGAGGGGAAAGGAGGACACGGAAGCAGAGGAGAGGAGAGGAGAGGAGAGGAGAGGAGAGGAGAGGAGAGGAGAGGAGAGAGGAGAGGAGAGAGGAGAGGAGAGGAGAGGAGAGAGGAGAGGAGAGGAGAGAGGATGCGATGATTTGGATGTCACCTTGCTCGTTATCATGGCAATGAATGGAAACTTTGAGCCAACTTTCGTCAAAGAGTACGCGAGGACCTGCAAACTCCATAACTCATCATCAAGATTATCTTCACCTCATTCTCTGTTCTCCACCACCGCCACCGCCGCCGCCGCAGCCGCCGCCGCCGCCGCCGCCACCACCACCACCACCACCACCTCCTCCTCCTCCTCCTCCTCCTCCTCCTCCTCACCACCACCACCACCACCACCACCACCATCATCATCATCATCATCATCATCATCATCTACCAATGTTCCCAGTGCAAACTCGTCTGTTGCCACAAGGGTAACGAAGGCCCCAGGAAGTTTCCTACGAGCGATGAGACACGGAGCCGACCCGAAACAGCAGAACCTGACGCTGTCCGTTGATTTGCCTTCAGCTCTTTCTCCTTCGTTCCTTTCCCTTACATCACCAGGGTTTGACTCGAGTTCTCTTGCTCACCGTTTCTCGGTCGCACCCAAAACTGGTGTTGAGTTCCATACACGAAGGGACTGAGGTGATGTCAGAATACATGCATGTTGTGTTGAGGACAACAGCACCTTCCTCCGACGTGTCTTCCATCCAACAACACGGACACGTTTGTGAGGCCGTGCTGTTGGGCATGTCAAGGCAGGCCATCAACTCCCTTGCTCTCACCTCAGGAGCAGATATGGTGACCCATTCATGCACAATCATGACATGAAAGCTGGAGAAACATGTTGAGAACCGACAAACATGCACGCATCTTGCCGAACCATCCGCCTCCTCGGTCCTGGCGTACCTTCATCTCAGATTTCTACATCCTCAGCATCGCAAGAGTGTACCTCAATGGTCCCGGAGAGAGGGGCAGGAGCCGTTGACACGACCAAACGTTTCAAGATGTCTTTGGAGGAAGACACATTCCGTCCTCTGTCACTTCTGATCAGACCAGCAAGAATTTCACATTGCGACTAGTCAGACTTGCTGTCGATCAGCTGGATGGTCAGAGTAGAAGGCCGCCCCTGACAACTGATCAGCCTTGCCGCATGGCTGTAGCTTGCCTCACCACTGAGGCTGTCCTGGTAGCATCGCCTTTCACGATCACATCTGCAACTTCCTGCTCACACGTTCCTTCTGAAACATGGAATCAGTTATCCTTGGGGATGCTTGCAGAAGCTGCGTGCCTGTAAGAAAGCAGAAGACGACGACAAGTGCGATGACTGCAGAATGTTCGAGCATCTCATCACGTGTGAGAATCTTCTAAGACCATTTTTGTTCAGGGCTGTCTGAATGGAGAAGATCGTGAGTTCCCGAGAAATGGAGATAAACTGTGCTCTATATCTCCATCCTTCAAGGCACTGGAATGTAATCCGCAACTATCGCAAGACATGATCTCTTCATGCATCTTTCCTCCCGCTCTACCTCTCCTCCCCTCCCCTCCCTCCCCCCCCCTCCTCTCCCCTCTCTCCCCCCTACCCTCTGCATCAATCCAGAGTCGGGCGTATGTTAACCGCAACAGCTGGATGACCACAGGTTTATATTCCATGTCCTGTGCGCCTGGACCTTGGGGAGGCGCCTTCATGCGCCCCGCCTTCGCTCCTTCCCCGGTGCTGGCAGGAGGATCTTCTCTCAAGTTAGCTGGAGGAAGACGAGGGCTGAACTCCCTGAGCATGACGAACAAGGTGAGGGCTGTGGTCGGGGTCTTGTCCATGGGTAAGGTTTTACGTACAGGTGTTCGTGGCTGGAGGGACGGGTAAAGTTGGTCGTATTGTTGTGAAGAGACTTCTGGAAGAAGACTGGAAGTATGTTTGACATATTACATTATACTCGTTGTTGTCGTCTTGTTTTCTCATCTATCTCTCTTTGTTCAGGGTTGTCGCCATCGCAAGGAACGAAACATCAGACATAGCTCGCGAGCTGGCCAGCATGGGCGCAGAAGTTCGCAAGGTCAGACGTGGCATGTGATGATGGTGTTTGACATCTCTTCCTCTCAACCTCTTCTCTCCTGTCTCGTTGATACATGTCGACGCTCGCTGAGACGAAAACCTGACGCTAGTATCAGGGGGACGTTTGTGATCTTGAAGGACTGAAGGAGTGCATGAAGGGCTGCGAGTACGTCGTTTCTCTTGTTGGCTGCAGCCCTCCTCGATTTGTCAAGATCTCTGATCTATGGAGCGATCCTCGCAAAGACGCGAATCATCCAGCAAACGTTCAGTACCAGGGGGTGAAAAACCTGTTGGAAGCGTCAAAGACCGAGAATGTAAAGAAGTTCGTGCGGCTGACAGGGCTAGCAGTGGGAGCAAGCCCTTGGAACCCCGTCTCTATCCTCTTTAGCCTTCTCCTTAGCTTCTCTACCTACTGGAACCGCAAGGGAGAGATGCTGCTGCGGGAAAGCGGAGTCGACTACAGTATCATACGCCCAGGAGGCTTGAAAGACGTCCCTCGGGCCAGGGAGGGGACAGACAAGCTCTTCCTGGCCAGCGAGGCCTGGGGAGACAAAACTCCTCCCTTCACTACCGGCATCTCGCGCGCTGACGTGGCAGATCTCTGCTGCCTCTCCTTGACCGACAAGCGACTCTCGCGTGCGACCCTGCGGGTGAACAGGATGCGTCCTCCCACAGCGGACAACAACTACTTCGAAGACCCGCAGGCAAAGAGCACGTGGGAGGAGCTCCTGGATACGGTGAGGCGGCTCTTACAACGTTTCTTTACCTGTAAGTCTCACACATCCCTTGTACCTCCTCCTCTCCCTCCCACCAGGTCGAGCCAGACAAGAAACCTCTCGAGGAAGTCGACTACACCCTCCCTGTCGGCCTCGCAGCCACAGCAGGTTTGCTTCTTCCCTTCCCATCGTCTTCTTCTCTTCATGATGCTGCAGTTGCCGGGGTGCTCGGCATCGTCGTGGGCTGGGTCGCGAAGCTGGCTCTATCCTTGTTCGGATGAAGCTCCGTTGGAAAATCGCTCTTGGCGTTCATGATGAAAATTCTCTCCCTCTCAGCGTCCGATGAGGTTGCGAACTTTGATGTACCGCATGTGCGACTGCGTGTTCTCCAGCGCCGCCATGGACATGAGGGTGAGGCGGACTTCGGAGATGTGGCCTTGTACGCCCAGCAGGACCGCCTCCTTGGTGCGCAGCCGGACGTTGACCGTGACATCTCTCCTGCCGAAGTAGTCGGAGAAGCTATCTGTCCCTGACATCTTGTCCGTGATCCTCACGATCTCCGTGTCGACGTCGTTCTTGATGATGTCAAGACACTTGCACACGCTTGCGATGTCGTCGAAGACCAGAGTCTGCCGGCAGATGTCACGAAGCCGCGAGACGTCGCCGCCGTAACATCGCACTGCCTTCTCGATCGCTCGAGTCTCGCTCTTTGTGTCCGCCCACTTGACAGACGATAGCATATCCTGGTACTTGCAAGCCTCCTCCCACAGCACGAAGGTGTCCTTTTCCGAGTTCCCAGCCAACGAGACGTATCCTCGTGACAGCATCGCCCATCGCTGAACCTTGGCAAGGAGGATGTACTGCATGCTTGCTGCCTGCGCAAACAGCCGGTCGAGAGACAGCACGGCATTGCCAAATAGCGAGGAGTGCCATGCTTGCTTCCTCCAAACAGGAGGGGCGACAGGGACTTCGATCTCCGACTCTACTGAGGTGTAGGACACCGACGTCCGAACCCGCTTTATCGAGTCCTCCTGCCGCGCACTCTTGTTCTGGCAGCTCTTGCTGATCTCCTTGGACATTTCCCGCAGCGAGTCGAGCTGCTCGTCCTGCCCAAGGTACTCCAACACGATCTTCCAACCGGCATCGTAACGAGCCTTGTCTTGCATCACGAGGTTCAGGCTGGTGTAGGTCACGTGAAATCTGTAGAGGAGGATGAACAAGCTTGCAAGCGAGACTATCAAACCGACTTTCACAAAATTGGGGTAAGACATCAGGAGCCCCAGCACCAGCCACCCGAAGAAGGTGAGGAGCGAAGCCGTCCAGTAGTACATCTCATTCTCGAAGAAGAAGATGATAACGAACACGCTGAACGAAGAGAAGGCGAGCAGAAGCGTACTCGTCCGATTATCACGATCCATGTAGGCAATGAGACAGAGAGTAACCACAATAATCAAGATACCATATTGCATCCAAATCTTGCCAATGTGCTCTCGCCTCAACAAGCCCAGCACAGCAGGTACACCGAGTGACAGAGTCCTCATCAACGCCATGAGAAGGATGAGAAGCATCTCTACACTCGGAGCGCTGAGATCGAAGCTTTCCACATAGTTCCTTGCCATGGAAGTGTTGTAGTCACCTTGGCCGAACTTGAAGATGGCAAGGTCGCCAGTGTTGACTGCCAGCAGATCCACCTGGTATTGCGAAGCCCCGATGATCGTCCATTCTTGTCTGTCGTGAGATCCAGAGACAGTGAAGGATGTGGGATCGCGTTCTGTCATGTTGTCAGATGTTATGAAATAGAAGCCGTTGCTCTGCACTGGGAATTCGTAGTCGAGGTTGATGGTACCGTTCTTGTGAACCTGATACTGACCGATCAAGCCGGGCTGTCTCAAGTCATGGACTACATCTCCTCCATCTCTCATCATTCCAAAGTGTTTGACGTTCGGGCTCCCGACTGACTTGTTCTCTCTCTCTCTCAGTACTGCAAACTTGAAATGGCGATATGTGGTGTAACCATTGTTGAAATACTTTCTTGTCCAAACTGTCGTCAACGAAAGATACATACTTGAGATGGCAAGCAGGATTAGGAGAAATCCTTTTCTGCTAAGCGCCGCTTGCATAGGCCGCGCACAGAAGAAAACACTTGCATCCGGCCCACGATGCATGTTTTCTATGTAATATATCAATTTTGTGTCCAAGCTTACTCTCTGCTCCACAAGTTTGCGAAAGTACTTCCGCATAGCCAGACATCTTTTAGACCAGCATCTGTGAAGACTTTCGATAGTTGACAGCCTCTTTGACTGAAATGGATAGCGAAATCCGTGCAGAAAATCAACAAGTTCATGCTCGCCCGACATTGATCCGCAGTTCCCAGGGTGGGTCTGCTATCCCTTGTACAAAAATTGTCCAGAATGACTTGGTAGTTAATATATCCAGACTATGCTGCCCTCAAGAGAAAGGAAAAGGAGCTTCCCACCAACCCCTGCTTTTCTGTCATCAACATCCACTTAAGAAGCTCTCTAGACTGTTGTTGCGCAACTACCCTTCCTCTTGCTCGTTCTGATTGTTGTTTCTTCTCATTTCAAGCACAAATCCGATCGTCCTCATTGTTTGTTCGAACCGCGCTTGCTCTTTACTACAAAACGCAGGCTCTCCTCACCACTCCATTTTGCCAGCAGCACCGCACCCACCCATACCCTCTGAACTAGAACACCCTACCCCGCCCCACCATGAAGATTTTAGTCCCCGATACTACTACACCCCCTTTCTCATGTCAGTACCCCTTCCTATTCCATACTACCCACCCCATAGTCATAACTTCTTGCGAGGGATTCATCAGAGACCCCCTGTTTTCCTATCCAAAAGGTAGGTCAGTTGAGACCCTACCACGGGACTCAGCTGTTATGTGAGGAAAACCACCCCAGTACCCCTCTTTCACCACACCCACCCTATGATACTACCCCCTCGACCAGACCCTCTAGGAAGAGGACCCAATAATGTCCTACAATGGTTAACATAGCCCTCATCCCCCCTCGTGAATTATCCATCCCCCAACCCCCACCCCCATTTCTATCCCCAATCCTGGTACTGTAACCACCCACCCGACATGCTTACGGAGGTTTCAACCGACGCGGTTCGCGCTATCCCAGTGGTAAAAACTCTCAATATTAACTAAAACCTTGGGCATGTCTGCGACCCTTTGAAGTTTGCCAACTTGCCAATCGTTTCCAGTTCAGTCACTGCCGCGGAGCCCGCCGCCCGGCCGGGCACTGGCGGGCCGGTGACAGCCCGGCGGGCTTTCCGGGCCCGGGACGCCATCCCAGGAGTCGGCGGCTCCGGGGGTCCATCACGGCCGCCCGCCGCGGCGGCGCGGGAGGCTCGGCGTCACCGTGCGCGGCGCGGCGCCGCGGCACCGGCCGCAGCCCGGCCCGGCACCGCGCACCGTACTGTAGCACAGGCTGTGACTCAGCGGCGCCGCCGGGCGTTGCCGGCGCCGGGCTGGCACCGTCCGCACTGCACGGCCCGGCCGCGGTACGGTCAGTGATTCCGAGGCAGTGCGGCAACGGTCTGCCACCGGCGGTAACGGAGGCCGCGCTTCAGTTGGTAACTTTCAAGCGGCGGCGCCGGGCCGCGGTACGGTCACGCCGGCGGTCCGCCGGGGCAACCGTCCAACCGTTCGGATGCCATCAACTTGGCAAGTTGGCAACTTGATGCCGCGGACTCGGACGCGGCGGGTGACTGACCGTCAGTCACGAGTCGGAGCCAGCGACCGTGACCGTCCGACTCTGGCAAACGTTGCTGCCGCAGACCGGGTGCGGACAGAAGTTTGTGGTCAGCCTTCCGAAGCCACGGTGTATGTCAATAAGTCATATCTGAGTGCGAGTCAACGACCGCTACAATGAAACAAGACAATAGCCTGTGTTGTTGACTGAGAGTGCAATCAGCCGCTGAGCTGCAGATTTAGTACAACTTGACTGAAGCAGATTACGGTGTCAGACAGGAAGGGAGCACTGTGAGCTTTTATATACTTCAAGGAAAGTATCGTAAGTTTATTTCCAAGAATCTCAACTGTGAGTGCGCATAAGATTGAATTGCTCGCTCATTGCTGTTGCCCCGAAGCTTTGCGTCCGGGAAATATCAAACTCACGGGGAGCATCCACAGACCCTGAGACACCCGAATCGATCATGTCGAAGCATTCTGCCCACGAGACTTTGAAAGTTTCACCCCATGAGTAGTTTTGCCCAGAACATGATGAAGTTCTGTATGATTTCGGTGTGCTAACCTTCTTCTTGCCGATCGATCCAGAGCTATTTCGTCGTACAGCATACCCAGCTTCAGATGACTTGCTAATGGGGCGTCGTGAACTGGGAGTCGAGACCTCTTCCACATATTCGGCGCTGTCTTTTGGAATTTCGTACATGACAACATTCTCAGGGCTTGGAGAAAGCTCATAGATAGTGTCGATCTTGTGAGGGATATCGATGCTGATCTTTGAGAAACTTGGCTGTCGACGCATTGAAGAAGATGCTACTCTGCTCACCCCATCTTGAGTTGCGCTCGATCGCGATCTTGTGATAGGGCCAGTATAACATTGTGCAGATGGAGAACGCTGGATGGGATCTATAGATCTTTTCCTGTTGTCTGAAAGCATCTTGTGTGCTACGACATGCCTGGCACTATGAGCGTCTGCAAAATGCTCGTGACTTGGATCTGTCTCATTCTGATAGCAGCTTTTCAAGGATTGTGCTATAACATTTGCATAGAATCTGCTTGAAGATGAAATTTTCTTGGAATTGCCTCGCCCATCAACTGACCGTTCATTGCGTCTCTTCTGAGGAACTAGTCTTGAAGCCAGCCCGTTTGAGGGAGACGGCAAAGCGACCATGGTGGACATTATTGGATTATGGTAGAATAGCAGTAGGGTATCGGATGGGAAACAATACAAAGAGGAGTGAAAGAGGGGCAAACAGGCAGAGAGAGCGTGGCGGAGGGCGTGGAGAGGTCGGATTTGGATCTTGAAAGGGTAAGGGAGTCAATTGATGTGTGTGGAATCGGGGATGGGGTGGGGTGAGGAAATGTGGTGAAAGGCAAATGATGGGGTGGGGTACGGTCCTCCGAGCCGAACAAAAACAATCATGACGAAAGGGGTTCATGGGGTGGTCATGATCACGGTACTTTCACTATGCAGCTACGGGTACAAATTCCAGATCTGCTCTCAGATTAGGGGTGGGGTCATACTCAAAGTCAAATTTCGTGTTGGGGGTCCACACTGCTTTCTATATTCAGAAATTACACAATACAGGGTAGGGTACAGTAAGATATGGGGTGGGGTATGTTTCGATGATACTGAAAACGAAACTTTTTGGTTTGCGTGTGGTAACTATGGTACTACACGGATGTTCCGTCGTTGTTAGGAGGAAAACAGGGTGGGTAGAACCTCCCCGTGAATGAGAAGGGGTGGACGGTCTACTTCAACATGGTGGTGTAGTAAAGAATGCTGCTGAAAGAGGCAGGGGTGAGGGAAAGGGTCGAACGATCATATGTCAGCTTGAGAAAAGGCTAAGGTACAGGGCCTCACAAGGGCACAACTGGGGTAAAAGCCGATTATGACCGGTGGTGAGTGAAGGGGACGGGTGCTGAAAGTTGGCGGGATGATCACATGAAAAGAAAGGGGCGACAGGGGTACCAAAATGGAAAAAATATGGTCAGCGCTCTGAGTAAGAGAGGTGGACCATTCCACCGGTCCTTTTAACCTAATTAGGACGGGATAAATTTGAAATTTTGTGGAAGTCGCAAGAGTGGAAAGGGTAGGGTTATCCAGGCAGAAAACTTACTTTATAATGGTTTTATGGTGTCGTAAAACTTGGTCATCATTCAGAAACCGAGATTTTTTGATACGTGAGGGTTGAAAACAGCTACCGGTCCATTTAATGGGGATTTGGGGGTGATGAGAATACCTCCTGGAAGTACCCATCAAGAAGTACTCCAAAAGAGGGGTAGCTTCATACAGTTACGCATTGGAGTAAATTACCTATCACGTTACCAATCTATTTACTACATGGATCTTGCAGTGTGACCATAGGTTTATGAGCATTTCTGGGGATCTGCTATATATCTGCAATAAAAGATTCGAGTGCTACACCAATAAATTTATGTAATGCTCTCAAAATTCCGCGATTTGCTATTTCCTAGGACCTTTCAGAAGTCTAGAACCAAGAAACATATAGCTGCCTTATAGATAATCAGCACCTTGGGGGCTCAAGCTTTAACCCCCTAGAGCGTTGAACAGTGTTCAATAAAATTCAATAGATTCGGAGGGGTTTAATAGAGCCCCCTCATCACCCAACGTTGCACCTTCCAATAATTATTTTGCAACGTTGGATCTTTTTTAGGTACAAATAATTGTATGATGAGAAGGGGACAACCGATACCACGGTACAATATTCAGTAACGATATGTAGAATTACAGGTACCAGGGTACAGTTCACAAAACTACTTTTACGCCAGGGTCATGGCATGAAGGCTGTTTACTCCAACTCAGGCATGACAGCGGCCTGCAGGAAAGAGGCCACGGTTGTCTCTCACTTACGCCGGTCCGATTGCACAGGCAGCCCAGCCGACACCGGGTCACGTCCCACGCCGGTGGATGCCTCCGACGAGCCTCCGAGAGCGGCCACGCCCGGCGGCTCGCCGCCGCCCGCGGCTGCCAGGCTGGCCGGCACCGCGTGCCATGCACGCGGCACCCCGGCTACAGTGAAGGTGACTCAGGACTCGGGAGTAAAGGGCGTGACTCGGTACGGTCCGACCGTACCAGGCCCACGGTGACCGGACAGGCTCAGCGGCTTGAAGTCGAGCCTTCGGAGGCTGTCCCTTTACTCAAAGCTTGACTTTGTGAAGCGGCTTGCCTTGCACTGGGGGAACTTAGTTGAGAAGGCCATGAGACGGCGCGGTCCGACCGGACGAACTTCAAGTTAGCACGGGCTGTAAACAGACTCCCGAAACCGCTTTACTACCACGGTTACTACACCGTACGGCTACCGTAGTCACCGTACCGTACTCAGTGCCCCCCGGGCCCGCCAGCCGGCCCGGCCCGGGCCACGGCTGCGGCACACCGGGCGTCACGTGGTGTGGGCCCGGCAGTCCGTCACCCGGGGCCGCGTGGCATAGTTTCAAGTCCGCCGGGTCAGTTTACTAAGTTACTAGCGGCTTCACTTAACCAGTAACGGAACCGTGACGACGGTTTGGCAAGCTTGAAGTTGAGTAAAAGAAACCAGCGGCTACTCAGACGCCGGGGCCGCACTGCACAGCGGCACTGTCAGGTAGCCGCCCGGTACGGTAGACCCGGTTCAAAGTTTCAAGTTCATCATTCCTGAGCCGGGCCGCCCGGCCCCGGCCGCGGCCCGGCGGCGGCCGGGGCTACCGGCGTACTAACTTATAGTAAGTTGCCAAGCCTAGTTGCCAAGTTGCCTTCTTTACTCAAAGTTAAGTTAAAAATCAGTACGAGGACAATGCCACCGTGACTCGGAGCCTCGGACTCCGGGAGTGCTGACTCACTGTCAGCGGCGCCGCGGCGGCCAAGGCCCTGAGGCCCGGCCTGATCCGGCCTGAGGTTAGCTCGTAAGTTTTTATATTGAGTAAATGTTTCACATGACGAAGAGACGTCTGGCATGGAGGGAGTTACGCAGGTAATGACGAGCAGGAGAAGGGGAAGGGAAGGGAAGGGAAGGGAAGACAGGAGGAGACGAGAGGGAAGAGGAAAGAAGGAAGAGGAGAACTCGAAAGGAGAGCAGAGCAGAGTGCAGAGAAAGAGAAGTTGAGAATAATGGTGAGAAGATAACATGGTGACCAATGCAGATAGGAAACAGGAACGTGAGGCAAGGGAGAAAGGGAAGGGGTGCATAGGAGAGGAAGGGTGAACAAAGTATGATTGAATGGGGAGGGTGCGATGAGGAGTTACCTTGCGAGGGAGAATAGCGGGGAGAACGTTGTCAGAGTATCTAGTAAATGGCTTGAGTATCAGAGGAGAGCAGGAAATAAGAAAGGATGAGTCAGGCTTCATCAAATCTAGCTCAGGATCGAGCAGTGCGATTATTTTCCAAGAGTTGTAGCTGTAGTGGAGGAAAGTTGCAAGACGTTTTGCATTGAAGAGAGCTCTTAACAGTAATACAGAACCACGAACCGCCATTTTAATTGTCATTGTGTTGATACCATGTTTAGTGAATGCTCAGACGCACTCGAATACAAACTTGAGAAGATGATAGGAATAGATGCATTGAAGGGTCTAAAGTCATTGTCTTGTACATATCGGTCACAACATGAACTACATTTGACCATCATTTCATTCGGATGATCCTTGTGTTTTATAGATCGCTGCGGAGCGGAGGCCTCCTGTAGACAGTCGTCCTGCTAAGGAGATGAGATATGGGTAAGAGCACATCCCACCTCGTGTTTTAAGTTCATTTTCTCACCATTGCACTTGTCGCGCACAGATTCATTGGTCTTGTTGTATTTGTAGCCTTGGCCGCTACAGGTGGGCAATTCAATCTCGTGCCAATGCTGAAAGCGTTGACTTTTCTTTAGTTTTTTTAGTGGATAGGGCGGATCTTAACATCGGTCCCAGCGCTGATTTGTCAGCATGTTTCCTCACCCTGCTACAGGTCCGAGCGTCCTTGTGGATAGCAGGAAGGGAGAACTAGTTCGAATTCAGAGCGGCACTCCTATCGTCCTTAACAGAGGGAGGAAGGTAGAAGAGAAGAAAGTTCTAGGGGCGATGGGGACGCTAGAGAGCAAGTTGAGGTTTGCCATGCCCTCGTTGACAGCCCGGTGGCTCTGAGGAGGAGTACAGGAACTTGGAACAGTCAACTTCCTTCAAGATGCCCCGGAATTCGGATCTCAAGGTGGCGATACACTTTTGACTTGAGCTGCACGTTCCCTAGCTCATGATGGTACAGGTTGCCAAGGGCGAAGTGCTCAAGTTGTATCCGATTTCTGGGACTGGTTGGAGGAGTTTGTGGTTGGTATGCAAGTTTGATGGTTTGTAGGGGCCCAACATGTCAACCCGATCAATGGAAGGTGCTTGTATGGGAAGGACAAAAGTACTCTCAACATCTCCGAGCTCTTGTCATCCCTCACTTGCGCGCTCGTACAGGGACGGGAGAGTGCAGATTGTATCCGTATCCACGATACACCATGGAAGGGAAACTGAATCTACCTCCTCCTCGTGGACCTCCAGACGATAACGGCTACAGGTAGTCGATCGCCGCGGAGCTCTTTGGTCCTGACTGTCATTGTCCTGCGTTGAACAGGTCGAGCCCTCCTGTCAAGTTTCCGAAGGCGTTGATGTCAGTAGCGGGGGAGATTGAAAGGAAGTCAGGGGACTTGGACTTTCAAGAGAAGGTTGGCAGGATGACGGGCCGAATTCCGACTGAATGGCCCCGGCAGGTGAAACAGGAGATGCAGCAGAACGAGGCCATCATGGAGGCGCTTCAGAAACATGTGAGATGGCAGTTGAGAGTGTGAAGGTGCTCAGGCCTCTTGCAGATTCTCAAGCAGGAATCCACCATCTCAGAACAGGAGGCAGATCTTCAGGTTTCCGTTGAGCTTAATCATTTCCGTTTCTGAAGAGAAGTTGAAGATGTTACAAGATGAAGTCAAGCTAGCTAAGGACAGGTACTTCTCTTGCTCGACTGGAGCATACGGAGGGGACTAACTGCAACATGACAGGGTCAGCACTGAGCTTGAGAACTTCAAAGACGACATCAAGGACAAGATCAAGAAGAAGGCAAGCCAGGTCCTCTTACCTCATCTCTTCTCTTCCTTCTTGACGTTTCTTGTAGGTTGGCCCTGAAGGCCCTGAGGGTCTTCGCGGTCCTCCAGGCATGGATGGCTTCCCAGGAAGGTTGGTCTCCTCTCAGTCTACCGCCCTCTCCCTTCCTCTTCTCTACTCATGACTTCCGCCCTCTCCCTTCCACTTTCTCTCTCCCTTTCATTGCTCCATCCTGTGCCATCTCATCGCTCTCGGCTTCTTCTCTGTCACCGGGGCTGCTCTCGTCCCCCTTATCGCGTGGAGCAGGCCAGGTGATGCTGGTGATCCTGGCCCTACTGGTCGTCCAGGCATTCCAGGCCCTCCAGGACCACCAGGTAGGATGCAGCAAACCCCTTCTCCCTCCTTCCTCCCCCCCTTTCTCCCTTCCCCACCCCATGCTTGCTGCCCATCCTTCTCCCTTGCTCACCCCTTCTTTCTTCCCCCTCCTCCCTCCCCTTCATTCTACTCTCCCTCCTTCCTCTCTCCTCTTCGACCAATTTCCTGTTCCTTCTCAACTTTCTGCTCTAGGGCCTCAGGGAGAGATGGGAGGCAACGGAGATCGCGGGACACCAGGACGACAAGGCAGGGAGGGTCCTCCGGGTCCTCCGGGTGAGCCTTTCCGCCATCGTACCAACTGAACTGACGACATTTGCAGGCCCCCAGGGCTACAGGGCGGTGGATCCGGCTTGTCGCTTCGGTGGATGCTAAGAAGAATTAAACTCCTTGTGCTCCTTCACTCCCTCGCTATCTCGTTACTATCCCTCGTGCCAGAGGAAAGTCCTCTTCCCCCCCGTTGTTGTTCCCCGCCTCCTGCTCCGCCTTGTGCCGATGCGACTTGCGAGAGCTGCATGCTGTACATCACCAAGAGCAAAAGGAGTCGGGGAAGTAGAAGCAGGAGCAGGAAGGGTGTGGGGTCAGGAAAGGTAGGGCGGGGAGACCTGGAAGGACGTCGACCCAAGGATGACTTGGCGCGAGACTGTGGGCGCTGGGGCTGATCGACCTCGTCCTGACAGACAGACGTCATGGCAGCCTCGGGTCCTCTGCTCACCTCAACCAAGGCTGAGCCGCCTGAAGTAGGGTAGGAGAAGTACACGTTGGGCATGTTGGGGACTTGCATGCTCGCAGAGTCGTCGTCGTCCTACGATTTGATTAGGATTTCCCGTCGGATACGAGGAGGGGGCAATGCAGACCTCTGCTAACTTCTTGCTCTTCTTCTTCTTCTTCTCCTGCAGAGATCGTATCGTGTGCTTCACGTTGGACCCTGTCAGCTCAGGGAATGGAATCTGCCATGCGTTCTCCTCATCGTCCCTGGGGAGAAGTCAGAAGGTTCCAGGATCGTCGTCAGGAGACCATTCGCAGAGCGACTCGATCCGCATCCTCTCCTCGTCAGGAATGAAATTTTGAACGATCAAGCTCAGCAGCTGGCATTGGCACCAACTCTCTCAGCTGCTGTTGATCTCACACGAACATCTCCTCACCTTGATACTCTGATCGCTCTCCCGGATGGTTTGCAGCAGGTCTTCTCTTTCTATCTGATTTTCTCGTCGCAAGTCTTCGGCTTCTGCCCTCGCCTGTCCAGCAGTTAGCCCAGCACAGCCTCAGCTCGGGCCCACCTGTTCGTATCTCGTCCAGATCTTCTTGAGCTTCTTGGTTTTCGCCTGCACCTCCTCTTGGATCGAGGCGTACTTCTCCTCCATCGCCAACGTCTCTTCTTCCTGTCTCAACCTTTACCCACCACCAGCTGCTCCCTCCACCTCCAACCTGCTCTCGCAGCTGCTCGCTCAACCGCTGCTGCTCCTCTCGCCTCCTTTCCAGTTCCATCTGAGCTCTCGCCAGCTCCTCCTCTCGTCGTCTAGCTTCCTCGGCGTTGGCAGACCCAACCACCACCTTCTCTTGCATCGCTTGGAGCTTCTCGCACGTCAGGTCAATTGAGCACGAGATGCGACACTCGCCTGTGCAGCCAGAACTTCTCGCGCATGTCGCTCCTTCGCCAGAGCTTGCTCCTGCCATGGAGAGTCAGAGGGACGAGACGGACATGTCGGTAGGGACGGACCTTCTTGCGGATCTCTTCTTCCGCTCTGTCTCTTTCCTCTTCGCGAATATCTTCGGCCTGACATCATCTAACGTTTCATTTCTCCTTGACTTCTCTCGTGGCTCGCGAACCGCTTGCAGAGCAAGTTTCTGCTCCTCGAGCTCGTGATGGATGTTTTCCAGCTGCTTGTTCGACATCTGCTTCACCATCTCCTGTCCAGTGAACTGAGGGGCAGGGTCAGGCCTCTAGCTCCCTCCTCCGACTCATCCAGCACCCCCTGCACTCCTCGGACTTCCGGGTCGTTCTGTTGCGACTCAAGCATGGACTTGAGTCTTGCGATCTCTTCCTGCAAGCGTGCGTCATCCCTCGCTGCCCCCTGCTTGCTCGGAGAGTCGAACCTGAAACTCGCGCAGCATCGTGTCCTTGGGGTCTTCGTTGATCTTGGGCTTGTTCTTGATGTTCTTGGCTCTGTTGGCGTACCTGTAGGAGAAGCAGCAGCATCAGGACGGCGAGCAGGAGGAGCCTCGCGCATCGACCGCAATGTCGAGATGGTCTCGTCGTAGTTGTAGTCCGCAGGGCCGATGTTTGCCACCATGACGGTCTTGGTGTTGCCCCCCAGCGAGTCTTGGAGCAGGCGAGTGAGCTTCGAGTCGCGGTATGGGATGTGATGAGATTTCGAGTCGACAAGCGCTGAGATGACGTTGCCAAGAGCGGACAGTGACAGGTTGATCTTGGTCGCCTTGATATGACTGTCAAGAGACTGCAAGACCGAGCAAGATAAACGTACCTCCTTCAGTCGGTCTCCAGTCGCTCCCGTCTTGCTCTGTCGCTCACTTCCTGCCAAGTCCACCAAGTTTAACTTCCCAGCTCGGATGTGCCGGGACCCATCCGAGCCTTCAGCTGAGCTTTCAATAACAATGGTGAAGATGGAGTGAGAGCGAGAGGAGTCTTGGTTCATCAGCGTCGCTCCCACACTTCTGTTCTTCTTCCCCGCCAGCAGCACATTCTCCATCTCTGTCGCTCCCTTCACCACGTACGACGTCAAGTCCTTCACGTACACGCCCCTGTCGTTGTCTTCCTTGAGGTCGAGCTTGTTCTTGGGATCCTTCGCCAGCAGGTCTCGCACCTCCTCGTTGTAGATCTCCAGGAATGATGCGCGCACGAGGAAGTTCTGATCATGAGTATCATCGATCTCCGAGAAGATCCGAGCGAACGATCGTGGGATGATTCCTCGCTGCTCCGGCGGGTCCCACAACCCTTCCATCGTGTGCGTCTTTCCCGTCCCGGTCTGCCCGTAGGCGAAGACGGTCCCATTGTATCCTTGCAGGACCGAGTCGACGATGGGCTGAGCGGTGGTTTGAAACACATGCTCTTGCTCACAGTTGGAGTCGAACACCTGATCGAACGTGAAGGGTTTCGGGGCTTCTTTGATGTCTGACTCGGGATTCCTGACTGAAACCTCACCAGTGTCGATGTTGATCGACACGATCTGCTGTCTGGTGTCCTCTACCTCTCGCCTCGACATCGGCCTGCATCTTACAACCACCTTAACGCACTCGGGATCCTTCTTGCCTTTCGCGCTGATCATCCTTCAAACATTAGACGTCAGAAGCGGCTCATCAAGCACACAGACTGTGATGTCAACCCTGAAGTTCACTCCTCTCAAACGTTCCCATCATCTTCATCGCACCCTACGAGCTTATCACCTTCTTCCACATACATATATGCACAAATTGAAATTCAGACATGTTTGCTGCTCCTGCAGTCAGTTGTAGAAAATCATTCTGATCCTCAACACTTATCCTCCACTCATGATCGCACACAAGAAACCCCTATGATTCGCCTCTTATCTAGATCATGATTCGAATTCCGTTTACTTGACAAATAGATTCCACTTTCTCGGAGCTCCCTCCCTCCCTCCCTCCCTCCCTCAGTATCATGTCCCCTTCACTATTCCCTCCTTCTTTTCTGCCTCCAGGCCCTCCCCATTGATCTGTACCTCTTAACCTCCCTGTTGTTTCCGCTCTCCCTGCCTCCATCCATCATACCTTTTCTCCTGACGAGTCTACCTTGGACTCTCGACCTCTCCCTCACTCTACTGCTCTCTGCTGCTCCTCTCTGCTCTCTTCTGCTCCTAGTGCCTCTGCTCTCTCAGGCTGCTCCTCGCCTCTGCTCTCAATCTCTTCTTCTTTCCCTCTTCGCTCGCTTCCTTCATCTTCCATACTCTCCCGCCATGTCAGGGTCGTTCAAAGTTTTACTGCCGGCTGCGGGCCTACTCCTCCTCCTCTCCTAGTCTTATACTTCTGTCCCTCTTATTGCGGGGGCCTAGTCCCGAGGCGGGCCTAGTCACTCCCGGGGGGGCCGGGTCACTGCAGTGCCGGACTCGGACGGTAGAACTTCGAAAAGTCACCACGGCTCGGTCACGTTCAAGAAGTTCCCAAGTTCCCGGCCGTCAGAACGTACAATTCAACAGCACTGCCCCGCCTGGGGGTCACTGGGTCCGACTGGAGTCCCAGCTCCGGCGAGGGCCCGGCCGCCGGCGCGGCGCGGCGCCGCCGCCGGGAGTGACTCACAGGCCGCGACCTGGCCACTGGCATCTGATCATCGGGGGCCGTACCCGGTCGGACAAGTTGCAAGTTGCCGCCATGCGGCCGTTTTACCGTCAAAGTTAGTACCTGGCCCGTCCGATCGGTCGGACCGGCTAGTACTTGCGGCCCACGGTGCCGCCTCCGAACAGCTGCCCCCCGCGTGCCGCAGTGCTGGCCCCGGACGGGCTGACTCGCCGCCGTGACGGTCCAGGCGGCAGTGTCCCGAGCCGCCGCCCGGGGGCCCTCTCAGCCTCGGCAGAGTCTAGACACTGCCGGGTCTGAGACAGAAGAGTCACGGTCGGCGAGGCTCGATCTAGACAGCCTCGGAGTCTAGAGTGGCGACTGGGAGTGAGCGGGGAGGAGGAGGCAAGGGACACAGATATGGCAGGAAGTGGAGGAGGGATATGGGCGGGGGTGGAGGTGGGGGACGCGATATGGCTGGGACGAAGGCGACGATGGGGAAAAGCGCAGTGGAGCAAGGGAGGGAACCTGCTGTTTGTGAATGCTACTGGAAGGGTGGGGGAGCTTTCTTGCTCCGAAGGATCGCCCGAGGGGAGGGGTGCTAACAACAAGACTGAGGAGCAATGGATGTTTGCAGGAGAGCGAGGGAGCAGGATAAAGTTTGTAAAGGATGTGATGCCAGGAGTCGGTGTCAGGAGACTTGGAAGGAAATTGAAGAAATCGATTGCTATCGGGTTCTCACGGGATGGAAATTTTGTTTGTGCTGTGCTAGAAAATTTGCGACTGGTGCTTTGGGAACGGGAAACGGGAGAGAGATTCCTCCTCACTCCCCCTCTTGCAGGAGGACGAGATGGTCCCCTCCTTGACATAAGAGTCAGTGTATCCAACGATGGAAGAAGTGTGGCACTGCACGCATGCCCACACGGCAGCGACAGGTTGCGGAGGAGGAGTTCCCCGCCAGTTTGGATCTTCGTGAGAGATGAGAAGCAACGAGACTCGACCCATGTCAAAGAAGAGCAGCAAGACGATGAAAACTTGTTGCATGAGCCCTCGTGCAAGCCCGGGCGACTGCTGGGATCTTGGGTCATGTTGAGCACTGACAGTTTTAAAGATCAGATCGAGCATGTTCTCTTCGACTTGTTCGACTTGAGCTCCTTCGATGCGGAGAGCCTCGTGCGAGGCTGGAACGTCTGTCAAGTCTCCTTGACCTGCCATCGATTTGAGTTCGTTCGCAACATGGTCGAACAGGAGGATGCTCTCAGGGATTCGCCGACTCAGAGGGAATGCGCTGATGAAATGTTGTGCAAGCTGAGATTGAAGGGCTCGAGGTTTGTGTGGATGGACTGGAGTCTTGTTGATGGTTCAGAGATAGATGAGGTGAGACAAATCTTGTGTCTTGTAGATGTTTCTGACTTTGAGCTGTCAGAGCAAACGAGAGGATTTCAACCTGGAGTTGGATGTCTTGCTCAATCGCTCCAATGTGATCAAGCAACATTTGCAACACAGACACGATCGCGGCAAACACTCGCCCTGGGGGCAGAAGAGCATGCAGGAGGTTGTAAAGGTCATGACAGGGGGGGAGGATAGCCATGAGGGAGGTCACAAGAAGGATGATGCTCAAGCAGGTCCAGCGCATGTCAGGCCCCTCATCCTCCGATGGGACCCTACGGGGTGGAGGGCAGCGATAGTGATGAACATGTACAGTGATGGAGAAGCAGACCCTCTGATCCTCTTGGTCTCTCGTGCCGGCAGAAAGTTGAAGCTCGACCGGTCGATCCCACCAGACTCTCTGTTGGAACCGAACCGATCGGCCATCGCCGATGTTGCATGGAGCAAGAGTGGGATATTTCTCCTCCTCATCACGGTAGACGCCAGGATCTTTGTTCTCTCTAGAGATGGTCAGCCTGTGCAGATCGTCTGTCAAAGGCATCCTGCCCTACATCCCTCCGCGCGCAACCGCATGGAGAGCTGCAATGCCCTGATGGAGAGGAGGGCGATGAATGTGAACTCTCCCTGGGGAACTATGGCGAAGGATCATCACAGGGAGCGGCAAGGGACTTACATTCTTGATCTTTCCTCCTCCTTCAAGAGCAGCTCCTTCTGGGGTTCGCACCTGGCTGCCATGATCTATTCGCATCCACAGGATACTGGCCTTTCCCTGTGCTCGCACAGCTCTCTCCCGTACCTTTGCATCACAGACGGGTTTCAGCTGATCGTTGTAAAGCTCTCTGAGTCTTCTACTGAGACGATCTTGTCAGGGATCTTGGAAGAAAGCGTCTTCCTCGAGAGGATGTTCGCTCACGACGCCTCCCTCTCAGCCCTCTCCTTCTTCCTCAGTTTTCCTAGGTCTCATCTCCGACCCGGAGATTTTATGCAGATGCGCAAGTGTATCCGATTACTCGCATCGAACTTGAAGAATTCGAGTGAAAGTCTTGACGAGGAATCCCTCGCGTACGCTGGCAAGTTGCTCTTCTCAGCTGTCGATCTCATCCTGCGCAGTCTGAGAGAGAGCAAGCAAGTTCTGTCTGGTTCCAACGTGCCTCAAGGTTGCTGCGTTGAGCCGCCGAAGGAGGTGGTAGGCAGCGATGCTGAGCTGTTAGAGAAGAAGATCAAACCTTGTGTCTCCTCCACCAACTCCTTCCATGTTGTCACCATCCCGCCGTCGGACGAGGACACTGAGACGCAGGACAGTAACACAGAGAGCCCTATCAACGTCCTCAAGCCTGCCGCTGATGTTGGAGAAGACAACTTGCAGACGGGCCAGCAGCATGAGAGTGAAAGCTCGTCCCTCCTCCAGTCAGAGACCAGGAGGCTGCAGCACACGACAGCTGGACAAGCGCGTATTGCCTTGTTCCAACAACTCCTCGTCGTCGGCAAGTTCCGGGAGGCCATGATCATGTTGGTCCTGCTGGGGAAGTTCTGTGTGGTGAGAGCACACAAGCAGGTGAGGTTTGCTGTTCCTCAAGCGTCCTTGACTTGTTGCTAGGCGGCTCTCTGGTTGCGGTTGGCGGCTGCGGTCCATCGCGTCTTGGCAGTCGAGGAGCAGACGAACCAGCACGAGGCTACAGACGAGCGCCAAGTGCTGAGGAGCATCTGCCTTGTTGCCATGGCGAAAGCTTCGAAGATGGAGGAAGGAGGTCTCGCTCGGGAGGCTGGTGGGGGACAGAACCAGCTGACTCCGTCGATCAACCATGCGGGTAAGAGGATCGAGCGACTGGTCCATGGCGGCGGCACCAAGATGAAGAAGGTGGCGAGTAGCGACGCACAGACTTCATGCCTGGAGCGGATGCTCTCTCCTTCCCGCAGGAATAACCGCTTCTCTTCTCGACGTGGGGGAGATCCCAGCAACGTGCGGAGCAGCTCAGAGCCTCCGCGGAGGGCCGTGCTGGGAGGAAGCGAATACTCTGTACGAGGACACGGACTCAGCAGCCTCACGCCCCAAGTCAGCAGGAACAGAGCAGGTGGAGATCATCTCGATGGCGGGGAAGAGACGTACCGCAGTCGCTCCATCGATGTCAGTCGGATGTGCTGCAGGAGGAAGAGTGAGGAAGTACCGGAAGCAACCAACGAGCCATCGGACACGAGCTGCTTGGACGTGGACGGCACCTCTCCGCAGGTCGGGGTCAGTCCGTCTCATCAGCAGCAGTCAGCGTCTCCGAGCTGGCGAACTCCGAGCCGAGACGCTTCACTCCAGGAGAAAAAGGATAGCCTTGCAGCTCGCCGGCCTCTGTTTGCCTTCGACACAGAGTCAGCGCTACTGGTGGGACGAGCTTCTCAGCTATTAGACGAAAGCTGCACGTCGGAAGAGAACATGACGCCAGCCAAGAGCTCGACACATGCTGAGTACGATAGTCCTTGGACGTGAGCCTGCCTGTCTTGTTGGCAGGGGCACCATCGCCGCGCCAAACCCCGCCAGTTTCAGACATTTATTGATCTCAAATTCCATGGGGAAAAATTCCACATTCTTACGAGATGACGTAGATAGGAACGGCAGAGTCGATGGTGACAGGGGTGTACTGCATTGAACAGCATCAAGACAAGTGATAGGAATGGCGAAAACAAAGACAGAAAGAAGGTACCGTGTCAACGTAGTAGACAGGAGAGACGTAGTAGACTGGGACGGCCTCGACCTCCGGCACTACCACCTGATCGAGGTGGTGGGAAAGTGAAAGGAAGATCAAAGAAATTCGGGCAAAGCAAGAAAGCAAAAACAGAAGTGGAAGGCTGGGGAGGACGACAAAGAAGGGTACGGCATGCTTACCTCGCTGCTTGATGGGTAAGTGATAGTGATGGTAGTCTCAGTGTCAACTGTATAGCGAGTCAATGTCAAATTTGGTAATAGATTGAAGTGTTCAATATAATCGATATGATTCAAATATGAATGAAATTGACTATGAAAAGGAACGAAGTAAACAGAGTGAGGGATGGAGATAGTTCATGGCATATAACCCCATCAAAAATCTCATTAAAAAATTCTGCGAGCCCCATACGAACAAAAACACAACTGAACTGATCGCAATAAATCTAACATTTTTTTTCAACTGCTGGCCAGTCCTCTGATGATATGAAATCGCAGTTTCTGCCAACGGATAGATCTGTCTTGTTCGAGTTCCACTGATATATCGAAAACATGAACGTACAATGCTGATAAGCGATACATGATGACGATAGCACACTTAGTATGAAGGTATGCAACGTCTTTCTACATGTCTCACAAAAGTTGACAACACAAGATAACCATTCCAACCTGAAATATTTCACCTCTCCTGTTTCAGCCATTGCCTCCATTTCTCGTCACATTATTCTTGCATTCAGTTCACCTCTATCAACCCGCACGACAAGCAATCGCTTGCAAGCACTAACATCCAAAGATCACATGTGAACTAGTCTTTGCCCTTCACGTCGCTTCCCCTCTCGCCCGTTCTGCTTGCCCCCTCCTGTCCTTCCCTCTAGCAAATGCATCTAACGTCTGATTTCTTCTCGCTTCTGCTCTTTCTCCTCTCCTCTCTCCTTCACTCACGTGATGTAAGCGCATGAGCGCGGCGGATGTCGGCGAACATTGTCCGTGGGCAAAGCTATCCACCGGCCGCTACAGGGTAGGGGTAATGGACGGTGGGGTAAGGGGTGGAAACAAGATTTTTTTATGGTTGCAGCGAGGATTTTTAATAGTATTGCTTCAATAAAAATTACATTACATCAGTACCATGACTAATGCTCTCGAACAAAGTACGGTAGGGGTAGTATCAAGTGGAACCGAGTGGTGGGGGTGATCTATTTTCGGGCTCGGGAGCATAGGTATCATAGACCATTCCGAAGTGAGCTTTCGAGTTGATTGATGGTCATTTGAGTAGGGTGGGGGTATATACCCCTACCCCTTCATTGTTGTAATTATGGTAGGAAAATAGTAGGTATCAGTTGTAATAAACCCCGTGTTGTACGTTTCTGCCATTGCAAGCCGGAACTTGGGAACGCAAGGAAAGAGGAGGAGCAAGAATCAGTAGAAGCAAGACCACAACAGAGTATCATCGACAGCAAGCACAAGAGCATCCATCAGTGCTGAAAGGAACACAGCTAGGAAGGATTCTCCCGTCCGCATTGAGGCCATACGAAATAAAGCGAGAAGGGTGGACTGTGACGATTCAAGCGATATCTCTAGAGCATCTCAGTTCACAGAGAGCTTGAAATCTTCCTGAAACAATACAGTGTGCAAACTGAAGTTGAAGTTGAGGGATCGCCAGGCCTTGCCTTGCTCTCCAACTGCTCGTCGAGAAAGGCATAGAACCTTAGCTGAAAAAGTTGATTTGATTGGCATCGCTGGCTTGATCTTGTGAAATGTTTTCTGATCTCCTGAATTTCCATGGGGAGAGCAAATCTCTGCGTACATATTCCATCCTTGCACAGAGTGGCATGAGTCTGAGTGACAAGTCTCTGGACAACAGGCAAGTTTTTTATTTGAGCTTGTCATGTTTCATTGGGTATATCTGATTCTTCTTGCACATCAGTGGGGCGAGCGCGAACATAGATGGATCCCATCCTTGTCAATGCAGCAGAACATGTGATTCCTTGGGGCGGTGTCATGCCATTTGCGCTTGTTCAGTTCTGAAATCATCAAAGGCTTTTTTGCCTTAGTGGAACATGTTGAACTGTATATCTGTTCGTAACGTCAAAATTGATGACTGTGTTCAAGAGACTCGTTAAGTTAGGGGAAATTGTTAAGAATAATTAATGAAGCTTACAGGAGAAAAGACAATGTTTTTGGAATGCCGAGTGAAACTCAAAAATTATTACGTTGTTGTAAAAATTCTTCCTTCATAGTTGAAAGCACACTCTTAGAAGAACATCGGAATAGGCATCGTGTACTGATTCGATGAGCAAGACAATAGGGAAATCGCTTGTTCTGCCGTCAAGTGGCAATACAACAACTTTGGAGGAACTGACAAGTTGTCATACTTCATATATTCAAAGAAATCGATAGTTGTCCGTCACAATGTAGTACGACCCACTCGCAGTGTCTTTTCCAAGGATCTGTTTGCATTCACGTCAAACAATCCACCGAACAGCAGAAGCAGAACACTCACAAAGGACTGACAGAAAGTTTTCGAATCGGGCGGCTGATTGCACTTGTTAGGAGGAAATATGTCAAGGGGGAAGAGAATATTACAGGCTTTGCTTCCAAGTGTCCATATCGCACAAACCCCATTACCGACACAAGGATCATGGGGTCAGGCGGTTCTTGCCCTGGGATAGTCACTGCAAGCTCATCAGGATTGGATCGATCCAAACAACACAAGATAGCATACGACAGTATATCAAAGTCATTAGAACCTGGAGATGCGATCGGTTGACAATCGAGGGAGAATGGCTCGTGCTTACTGGCTGGCAGGTCGCTGAAAAAGCGATCTACCGCCATCTTTCCATTCAGCGTATTGCCATTCCAAACAACCTGGAAATCATTTGCGTCCGCGTCAAGATCATCACAGGATTTCATTTTTCAGCTTAGAGTTTTACCTTCGAAGCTTCATGATACAAATGCTTCAGATTCTGACGGGCAGTATCAAGATAAGAGTAATAGTGCTTGAAGAACTGCTCTCCTCCTTCCGTCGTGATCTGAACGGTGTCGCCCATGGCTTCAAGTCCTCTGATCAGCCTTGAGGAGCGAGTATCCTCCCTCCAATTCTCTCTTCTCTCTCTCTCTTCTCTCTTCTCTCTTCTCTTCTTTCTTCTCCGCCTCCTCAATGCTTCTTCATGCACGCGCCATAATTGCCATGATGAAAATTTGCCCCCCTCATCCCCACCACAACCTGATCTGAGGCGGATTCACTTCTGGTTAGGTTGGCTCATAACCTGATGAAAGAGGGTGCACGTGAAATGGCGAACGGGAAGGCGCCGGCTTGAGGGAGGAGGAGGAGGAGGAAGCTTGGGTTGAAAGCACAGCCTAAGTTCACGCGCTGACACGGTTGTGAGAGTAGATGTGGTGAAGGGGAGGAGCCAAAGAGCGTGCAGGATGACGCACAGGAATTCTATGTTTGACTTGCTCCGAGGAGGATTAAAATTCGACAGGAAGCTTAACAAAGATGCATCAAGGCTTGACAAGGACAGGAATAGCAGAAGCGACACAAACGCAAAGCTCCCTCACACAATCTCGTTTTTCTCCAATCAAGGGAGCGCTCTGCCCTCCAAAAGGAAGGAGCGTGATGACGACGAAGAAGAGGCAGATGAAGACGAACTAGAAACAGGAGCGCAAGACTTGAGCTCTATGAGGCATTCGGATGAAGAGGACAGCCAGATATCAGAGGAGGAAGGAGACGATGATAGTGGAACTGGCGAGGGAGTGAAGCTGTTCGCCGGGGCAGCGAATCCTGTCAGGGAAGCGAAGAAACATAAGCCGCATGCGAGAGGGAAGATGACGGAGGAGAAAGACAATCAGGTAGCAGACGAGATCAAAACTTTTCGTAGGCAGATGGGAATCACCGTGAGTGGCGATGAGATCGCTCCTCCTATCGGCACCTTCAGTGAGATCAAACTGAGCAAGGAGCAGAAATGGCTCCTCCATGGCATTGAGACGGCAGGGTGGAAGGAGCCGACGCCGATCCAGATGCAGGCGATCCCCATCCTCCTCGAGAGACGCGACCTGGTTGCCTGTGCTCCAACTGGGTCCGGCAAGACAGGAGCCTTTGTCATCCCGCTCTTTGCGCTGCTTCAGGCGCCCAAGAAGGAGGGGATCCGAGGGCTAATCGTCTCCCCTACCAGGGAGCTCGCGACTCAGATCTTCAACCAGTGCAAGCTGCTCAAGGCTTTCTCCAAGCTCCAAGTCAAGCTTCTCACCAAAGCAACCGCTGCTTCCGTGGCAGCCCTTCAGATGGACCCGCAGGCGCGCAACCATGACGTGGTCGTCTCAACCCCCGCACGCCTTGTCTCTCTGCTCCAGCAGAAGTCCCTTGACCTCAGCTCGGTCGAGCTCCTGATAGTCGACGAGGCCGACAAGCTCTTCGAGGAAGGCTTCATCACCCAGCTCGACGAGATCCTGGCGGCATGCAGCAACCGCAAGCTGCAGAAGTCTCTCTTCAGCGCCACCATCCCCCCGCAGATCGAGGAGCTCGCTCGCAGCATCATGCCTCATCCGACCTTTGTCACGGTTGGCAGCAAGGTGGGAGCAAACTCGAAGATCAAGCAGAAGCTCGTCTTCGTAGGCTCGGAGGAGGGGAAGCTCATCGCCATCCGTCAGCTCATCCAAACAGGCTTGAAGCCTCCCGTCCTCATGTTCGTGCAGTCCATCGATCGAGCGAAGCAGCTCTTCCGCGAGCTGGTGTACGACGGGATCAACGTAGACGTCATGCATGCTGAGCGAACGCAAGCGCAGCGTGACAACATCATCTCTCAGTTCCGGTCGGGGGCCATCTGGGTGCTCATCTGCACAGACCTGATGGCGAGAGGCATCGACTTCAAGGGCGTGAACCTCGTCATCAACTACGACTTCCCTCAGAGCACCATCAGCTACATCCACAGGATTGGACGAACAGGTCGTGGCGGACGAGAAGGCGAGGCTGTAACGTTCTTCACTGGGGAAGATGTCTTGTACCTCCGGAGCATCGCGAACGTTATGAAGCAGTCAGGATGCGACGTTGCTGACTGGATGCTCCAGCTCAAGAAGCCGGGCAAGAAGGTCTTGTCTACTTGCTGTCTCTCTCCGTCCTCACTGACATGCTTCTATCACAGAAAGCAAAGATGCTCAAGAAGAAGGCTCCTGAGCGCAAGGACATTGTTGAGGTCCCGCGGTGCTTCAAGCAGCAAAGAAAGAAGAAACAGCAGATGATTGAAGGGACGAAGAAGAAGAAACAGGATCAGGACTAGCATCGGTACATTTCCTGTAATAAATTCACTGAGAAGCAGCATGCTTGTCGTTGTCGAGTGTGCATTGGCCAAAGTCAAGATTGAAAGTGTGTACGTTCATGTGATAGGCCTATAGAAGGGAGATAATTGTTACATGTCCATTAGACATGGCTGTTGGAGCAGATGTCGGGGAGGACGCACAATTGTGAACTGGCTGGGATCATTGTCGTTTTCCTGTCCAGGCTCGGGTTGGCCAGGAAAAGAGTCGTGTTGCTCATCTGCAACACGATCATGTTTGACAAGCACGTGCGATGATACTGACCTGGAAGTTCCAGAGCAACCAACTGAGAGCAGTGTCAACCGATGGAGTGAAGACTGGACCAAGACGGATCGCCACGTTTGACGGCATGTCGTCAAGATTTTCTGCTCACGCATCACTTGAAACCTCTTGAAATGTCAGGAAGTCACCGGGAGTTTGCCAGGTGCTGATGCCATTCAATGAGATTGGCAACCTTGTTGCAACATTTGCAGACCAAATTTGCGCCCTGACAATCATCACAAGACGACAAGGGCAGGTAAATATGTACCAGTCTGTTTGAAACAATCGAGCTATGGTCAGGAGCGTCTCCTTTGGACTCGTGCAGTAAAAACACGGCAGAACCTCAACAAGAATGCATCTGAGTGACACAGTTATCATCTTGAAAGCCTTGCTCTTGATGACCTTTGGTTCGATGCATATCTATCATGCACTTCAATGCAGATGTCCACCACTGATCCCATGTGCTTGGTCTGCATGTACTTGTGATCAGGATGGCGACAACTACCTGGCGTCATTAGACCTCTGGCAGCCACGAGACGTTGGCATAGATGAGATATGTTTGTCGGCCATCAGCGTACATCACTGCAAGTTGTCTTAGATAGAAGGCTTCTGTTTGCTCAGCGCAAATCAAGTACCATCGTTAGGTATGTTTGCACTTGCTGTCACATTCCTTTCCTTCAAAGTCAAGCAGACAACACACGCACAACACGTTCTTACCGCACGAATAGAGGCTGCGACAACCTCGCTTGTCCAATTACAGCATTTGTTTGAACATTCCATAGGAAATTTGTGAAATTCACCTGGAGGGATACAAGTCAAGCCTTGCTTTGCAGTCGATGGCACTTCACGTTGAAGATCGAGTCTAAAGATTGCACAACCACCGCAAAGGGCGGCATTTCACAGTTTGAAACCGCAGCGTTGACCCTACTGATGCATGGGGTCGGGGAGTTGGAAGCAGCAACGCATTTCTGCGCTCACACAGTCAAGTGGGCGCATGCACATCCGACGACTCACAGCCCATGGAATGATGGAAGGAGTCTCATCCTGCTGGGGCTGCAGCGACCCGTTGACCAGCTTGTAAACGGAAGCATTGAACCATGCTTGATATGTCACCGTCACCCTCTAACACAAATGATTCTACAGTCTCACCATCCACAAATGCTGGCCGATATTCATACACGTAGAGCTGGAAGGTGTATGTCGTCCATGTTGATTGTTGTTGGTTCTTCGCAGATATGTTCAAATCAATTGTGAAATCCTACAGATCATCATGAGATATGGGCAAAACGGAAACGCGTTAACGTACGTGATTCACATGACTCTTGTATGGTGTATATACAAGGGTTCGAGTCCAAATACCGTTCTGCTCCTGAACAATTCCACTCCACTGCATCCCTGGGATTTGCTTGGAAAGGAACTGGAGAGAGTTTCCGAATTCAATATTTGCACTCGTCCAAGGCTGCTGCTGCAATGAAATATTCACTTGTAACTTGAACTCTATCCCTCCTGATCTGCAAACAGACATAATTTAGAAACAATTGTCGCTTCTTGATGCTCAACTTACTTCATGCCCCAATATGCAATGTAGCTTTTGTTGTATTGGATGGACAAAGGCTCGAAAATCTCTGAAATGACTCCCGCATTGTACTGTATTGAACCATCTGCTGTGCATGGCGCTAGTCAGCCAGTAAATGCATGGACAACGGTCGACAACAAACCTGATGAGCTCGTCCCATGCAACAGCAGGAGGAAGCAGCCCAAGCACAATGCTCTTCTGCATTGCCTCACTCCCATGCTGAATCGTTAAGTCCACCCAGTTGATTCGAGTCTGCGGCGTTCCTGGCTACGGTTTCTCGCTCTGAAGGTCGTCTGACCCCGCGGTTGTCACCTTGCCGTGTTGGAGCTCACTGACAGAACGATCTCGCAGGGCACAGCTCAAGCCTCTACCGTACCGAACTGATGCGGCATTTCACCCTACCGTGAACTGACTGAGCTAAGTTAGTATGCCCTCTGAGTATGTCCGACGGTTCAACATTGTGACTGCCGTGGCATTAGTGGCATCCTCTACACAGCGGCAACTTCTATCGGGAGCTCATCCCTTCCTCGCTGCTTCGCTCACCCCCGCCATCGCTGCCGCCATCTCCCATTGAAGCGTCAAGCGAACCAGGCAGATGGGTGTAGGCCGGTGCTGGACGGGGTGGGTGGGCTGAGGTGGGGATGAGGGCGAGCAAACATGAGACTGAGGGGGATGAGGCCAATGAAGCAAGAGCTGAGGCGGACTTACAACATGCTTGTAAGGCCACCTACCCCATCTACTTCAAAAGATTGCAATCATACCCCTACCCCCTTAATTCCCAGCAACTTGAAGATAAAGACTACGAAGGACCGGGTGAAGTTTACTAAGTACCCCCACCCACTTCATCGTAGTCCCCTCCTCTAGCCCAGGAGAGCTCATTCTAGCAAAAGTTGGCGTGATTGAATTGTTAATCAAAACTTGTATACAAATAAAGGTACCAGTATCTTGCAAAACTTATATCAAATATTTAGCTATCAAATAGTTTGGTACAAATTATACATTGTCTCATTTAAACAATAGGCCACTCTGTTGCTGCAAGTGGGATGCCACATGAGCTACTCCATGAGGGAAGGTTGAGCTCAACGAGGGGACGCGGAGGACAGTCGAGGGGAGGAGAACGATGGCAGGAGAGGAGGAGGAAGAGGAGGGCAGAGAGACTGGTAAGGCAGAGAGTAGAGCTAGCAACAGAGGCGAGGGCATGTACCTCTGCAAGCGGAACAAAAGAAGTTGACTAGCGTAAAGGTATGGAGATGTGGGGGAATGCGACAACGAGCTGTGATTGGAACCTTCATTCCTGAAGTGTTGTAATGGGTTCAACCAAGATGCGAAGGGAACATCGAAAGAAGCGGGAAGATGCTTGATTCGAATAGTGAATTGGAATTAACCGTTGACATGAACATGGTGGGTAGAAGTTTTCAATCTTGAAATAGAAGTGAATTGGAGCTGAAGTCATATTTTCTCGACTTGATAAATCTTTTGTAGATGAACGTATACAATGCTAGAGGGTAAATGAGATTTCGAGAAGGATTTTAGCCAGGAGAGACACTTTGTAATAGCGAAGTTGTTTATAGAACCTCTTGGTATAAGTTTATGTAATCGTTGATAACGAAACATCAAAGAGAATAGAACGAATCGGTATAACATGAACCATCATCATATAATGACCGTGAGACAGTTAGCTCTGTCAGTCCTCGCTTTAGCCTGTGCATTCATCCAACTGTGTTCTTCATCTCCTTCATCCAGAGAACTGACCTAGTATGAGATAGCGTTTCTGTTCTCATGTGTGCTTATTGACGTTCATCTTGCAAGGTTGACGTTGGATACGTGGACTGTGAAGAGCAGCAACATACTTTCATGCAACCTGGGAAGTGAATTTCGTACCGAGATTCAACTTCCCCTCCATTTGTATGGGTGTGAGCAGCCAGCACGCCGAGTTTCAGCCTTCAAAGTCTGACAGGCAGGAGGCAGAGCTTCTTGTTCGGATAGACGCGCAGTCCCGGGAATCAAACGGCTCCACGACAGGTCAATCCAGTCAGAGTGGTGACAAAGCACCACCTGCATACATGGACAGGTTTCTCGATGCCCTCCCTGGACCCATCCAGTTCACAGTCCTTGCTTCTGCCGTCTTCATATTCTTCGGAGCGCACAACTACCTGCAGGAAGCGATCTCGAGGATGCAGGGGTTCGAGGGGTTGGGAAGCATCTTGGGCTATCTGGAGGTGATGGGCGTGATGGTTTGCTCCTTCTTCGAGCGGATGATGGTGGGAGAGAAGGGCAGGACAGTGAAGGCGATGAACTACATGAAGTTAACCATGTGCTTGCTGGGCACAAGCTACCTCAGCACTGTTGGCCTCAATTACATCAACTATCCCACCAAGGTGGTCTTTCGAAGCTGCAAGCTGATCCCAACCATGGGGGTTGCGCTCGTCATGCACCACGAGAGGTTTAGCATGGTCGAGGTGCTCTCAGCAGTGTGCGTGTGTGCCGGGCTCGCTATGTTCGCGTTTGCAGACATGTCGGGGGAGCAGAAGGTCTCTACAGTTTACGGGATGTCCTTGCAGGCGCTGAGCGTCATAGCCGACTCCTTCCTGCCCAACTTCCAGCAAGCCTTGTTTCGCCAGGGAGCGTCGACCTTGGAAGTGACGTACTACACCAACTTGTACGTCTTCGTCATCATGACCTTCCTGGGTGGAGGCACCGGCCACCTCTTGGGCGCGTACAACTTCATCCTCAGCAATGCATGGGCGGTGATGTACTTGACCATCTACACCATCGTCGCGTACGTTGCTATCAGCTTCCACATGCGAGTTGTCTCCCGGTATGGAAGCGTGATCGCTGTTCTCGTGGGCAACATTCGAAAGGTACCTTGTTGTTTCTTCCGCCTCGGTCTCTCACGCTTGTTCTCAGGCTGGCACCATAGCGCTCTCCTTTCTGCTCTTTCCCAAGCCATTCTCATGGTTCTACGTTTACGGAACGCTCCTCGTGTTCGGGGGTCTCACTGCCACCGCTTACGTCAAGGATAGACGTAGGAGGAGTCAGAAGTAGTGCGTGCTAGGTCGTCTCGGAGTTGCGACAGCTTCAGGTCCTTAGCGTCGGTTGCGCTCGTGTGTCAAGACGGCACTTGCCAACCTGACTTGTGATAGTGTGAAAGTTGAAGTCGAGCAAGAGTTTATCACCATGGTCGGATGCAAAAGGAGGAACATTTAGCATTTTGAAATACCAGGATTAAATTCGTTTGCCGACTTGCAACTTGCATCTGACATCTCTGCTTGCTTCTAACCTGACAGAGCTCATTATAGGAGTACTACTAGGCTATCAGTACCAGCGCCCCTCTACCCTGGTACTGGGCTAGAGGCGCTTTACTGTTACAGCCCTAGTACTGTACGTTAGGCCCTTCCATGGCGTCGGGTGGCCGATGAGAAGGCGAGAAGAAGAAGGCGCGCGAGGGGTGACGAGGATGGCGATGAGGAGGAGCATGGTGGAGCCAACGATTGAGGACGCCAGGAGGATGCAGATGCTCTCCGCAGCCGCTCGATCCTATCGTCCTGCGTCCGCGCCCTCGTCCGCTGCGAGGCCCAAGGACAGGCGGGTGACGGGGAAGCAGGTGGAAGCGACGGGGAAGAAGAAGGGGACGACCTCCTCGCAGAGAGAGAAGAAGGTCTTAGCTGTCAAGGACACGAGCCGTCATGGGCAGCAGCGAGTGGAGGAGAGGAGCAGCGCGTCTCGGCATCCTCCCCATCCCTCCTCCTTCCAAAGCCTGTCCCGCTCCATGCCCGCCAAGTCTCCGTGGTCCCTGCATGAGAAAGAGAAGCTGTGGAGACAGTCTGTGCCCTTGTCAGAGGACGCGAAGGCGCAGGATGGAGGGCGGAGGAGCAACCAGACGCCATGGCTGGATTCAACCTCTGCCGACGAGGAGTTCCTTCATAGAGCGTCAGGGTCCTTCATGCAACGTGAAGCAGCATGCAGCTCCTGCCGCGCTCTGACGCTGCTTGGCTAGGATCCTTCGATTCTTACTTCCCTAACTTGTCTCCTCCTACTCTCGTCCAGGTTCGTCTCTGACGTCTGACCTGCGCTGAGCATGCGGACAGCAGGGAGGGGGGATGGACGACTCGCAGTCAGAGCAGTAGCTTTCGAGCTCCTGCGTCTCTCTCTGACCTTGTCTAGGTTGCGCCAAGAGCACATGATGAGCCACACGCTCAACGACGAGCTTGACAAGCTGAAGCGAGAGTTTGATGACGTCGCCGCGCGCAACAGAGCTCTTCAAGACAGCATCTGCGTGCACATCGCCGGTGACAATAGCTCACCTCTCCTACAGGCAGTGACAGTCAGCAGAGAAGGAAGAAGCCGTCAACAAGTTCAGAGACACCCAGCAGAAGCTCAGCAGCGTGAGAGCTCGTTGTGAGTCAAGAGGAAGCTGATGTGCTGCAGGAGCTCGAGAAGATGCAGAGGCAGGAGCAACGATCGAAGCAACACGAGCAGGAGATGCTTGAAGTCACTCGCATGCTGCGAGAGGAGCAGGAGAAGGTAACATACTTCGAGATCCCGCTCCCATCAACCCGTGAGGATACAGGTGCTACGATTGAAGACGACGATCGAAACTCTTGAACATGATCTGCAAGAGGTTGTGAATGCAAACTGTGGCTCATCCAAGCTCATATCTAAGTATTTGCATTGGAAGGTTTTGAAGGAGAAAGACAATAACATACATTCCTTGGAAAAGTCTCTTGCGAAGGAGAGAGGAGAGAACTCGTATCTCAAGAGCAACCTGCATGAAGTACACTCCTGCCCTTGTTTCGACTAGTCCTGAAGGATATGTCAGACTGAACTCGCTCTGGGAGAAGAGAGGATGAAAATCTTTCACTTTGAGCACAAGATTATGGAGCAGGGGCAGCAGATCGAATACCTCAAGAGAGTTCGAGAGGAGCATCACAAAACCGAGAAGCAATTTCAAACACGAGAAACAGAATGGAACCAGAAGATGCAGGTGGGGCGAGAGAAAAGTTTACAACATGTTTGCAACATTTTCATTGCTGTCCAAACTAGACCTGAGAGGTTTTGTCAGCACATGGAGGAGAAGATATCAGAATACAACCTTGTGATCAGTCAGGTTGCTCTCTCCCGCCTCTTGCTCGCTGGTGCTGATGGATGGAACAGCTGAGGGAGACGATCGAGAGTCATAAGGATCAGGCGGCGGAGAAGAAGATACAGATTGCTCTCTTGCAGGTATCGCACACGTCATCGACGAGGACGTGACGTGTGTTCAAAGGAAAGAATCAGTTACGCTGACAAGACCATCGAAGATCTGCAGAACAAGCTCACCCTAGCGGAGACATCAGCCAAGGAGCAAGGTACCATGACACTTGAGCTCACCATTGCGCTGACAGACTGAATGACAGCACAGAAGGCAGAGAGGTTCTCACAGAGCGAACATTCGACCATGTATCAGATACGTGAGCTTCAGGACAAGCTCAAGGCACGCGAGACCTCTCGCAGCCGTTACTGACGAGGAGGCTGCTAGGACGCTCTGTTTGACGTCAAGTCAAACCATGAGGCCAAGGTCGTGCTGGAGGAGCACTCTCAGAACCTGCAGAGCGAAGTCGACGAGCTGCGACATCTGTACGAACGCGAAGTGAAGAAAACCCGAGGTGACCATGCTGTTACTGCTGTTCCTCCTGCTCCTGCTCCTGCTCCTGCTCCTGCTCCTCCTCCTGCTCTCCCTCTTCCTCCACCTCCTCCTCCTCTCCTCCTCCTCCTCCTCCTCCTCCTCCTCCTCCTCCTCTTGATAATATCCAACGTGTTTCATGTAGATGCGCAGCAAGATTCCGATGAGAAGACGAGAAAGATAGAGGAGATGAAATCAGCTCTTGCTTCCCAAGAGTCCCTTGTTCATTCTCTCCGATCAGAGCTCGTACGAGCCTTTGGCTTGAGCTCCCCCTCCCCCTCCCCCTCCCCCTCCCCCTCCTTCTCCTTCCCCCCTCTATCCTCCTCCTCCTCCTCCGCCCCTTCACTATCGCCTCCAATGTGCCTGACCTGAAAGTATTTTTGCACTCCAGGACGAGCTAAGAAGCAGCAAGAAGAGCTTGGAGGATGAAAACAAGAGCCTGAGCCACCTCAAGCAGAACTTCCAAGACGTGCAGACGAAGCATGAGGTGCTTTCCTCTACCGCTGGGCCATGCGCGGAGACGTCTTGACTTTCTACTGTCCTTGTCTACAAGGTGACGGAGACAAAGTATCGAGCCCAGCAAGAGCTCTTGCAGAAGCAGTCGCAAGTACTTAGAGCACTGCAGGTCGTGCTGTTGTTTCCCAGCTCATGCACCTGATGAGAGGCCTCTGTTGCAGGAACGAGCGTCGTCGACAGAGCTCCAGCTGTCGTCCTTGAAGGTACAAGCCCCGTGGAGACGCTGCCGATGACGTCAAAGGCCTGCAGGGCGAGTACGATCAGTCGCGGGGGGAGTGCGAGAGCTTGCAGGAGCGGAGCAAGCGGATGGAGGAGGAGATGGCGCATGAGATCAGAGACTTGAAGGTGCTGCGAGTGAGAGCAGGACGAGCGTAACGCCATCCTGACAGAAGCAGCTTATGCTGCACAAGCGACGAGCCAACAAGGGCGCAGAGCTGAACAACCAGCTGCTGGGGCTGGTGACGAAGGTGCCTGACCTGAATCTCTTCGCCATGTCAAACTTGTCAGGCGATGGACGGCGACATGGATCAGGAGACGCTGGAGGAGCAGCTGCAGCCACTGAAACTAAAATGAATCAACTGATACTCCACGTCGTTGACGCGAAACACCGGGAGGTTGTCAAAAAGTTCATTTGTTCGAAAAGATGGCGGGATGCGTGAGCTAGCTTACAAGGATTAGACATCCTTGGCACAATAGTAGGGCTTGGGTTGCGAGCAGTCAGCATCTCCGATCTTTCCACGGAGAGCTCCAACTCCAAACACTTGCACGCAGTTCTCGCCCCCATCGCTCTTAGGATATCCCGCTCCCCACTGAGAGATGAGGAACATGATGTTCGACTTGTCGACGTTGTACCACTCGTTTCCTCCGTCAGGCGATCTCTTCAAGCCGATCCAGAAGTCTTGCATGCGCATGCGATCGGAAACGGACTTGAGGTCAGACTGGCTGGCAGGGGAGTACACATGTCCTCCCCAGGCGTGGCACTTCATCTCGGCGATGTCGAACTTGTCAGGCTCAGTGTTGATCTGCAAGCAGAGCGTGTCGCCGATGGTCAACCATCCTCCAGCCCTGTCGCAGCGCACTTGGACAGACTCGGGGCCGAGTGGGCCGACTGAGCCTTCGGGTCCGGGCTTGCCCTCGTCACCCTGAGGGCCCACAGGCCCTTCAGGTCCACGGGGACCCTGAGGCCCTGGAGGTCCGTAGAGACCACGAGGACCCTCGACGCCAGGAGGACCAGGATCACCCTCGGGGCCGGTGGGGCCAGGCTTGCCTGGAAGTCCGTCCTTGCCATCCTCTCCAGGAGCTCCGGGAGGTCCCTGCTCACCACGAGGACCATGGCTGTGCTCCTTAGTGACGATCTTCTTGCGAAGATTCTCGTCGTTCCACTTGAGCAGCTGCTTCATCTTGGAGTAGGCGTTGTCCTCCATAGTCTTCAGCCTGTCAACCCACATTCAATGATCTCACATCACTCGCACATTGACCACCTTTCGATTCTAGCCTCTGAGGCTTCGATTCTCTTATGATTCTCCTTCATGAAGTACTCCAACTTCTTGATTCTCTCGGCGTTACTATCATACCTGAAGAGAAGACGAAAGTCAACTCGTGCAAGACTATCACAAGATCTCACATTTTCTTGAAGATTTCCTTCAACAACATCTTGTTGCAAGCCTTTGTGCAGACGCCACCGGGGCACTTCAAGCAGCACGATGGGCAGGGGCTGGGCCTCTGCACGGAGATCGGGCCAGTGAAGCGAACAACAGTGGGTGGCTGCGCTGGAGGAGGAGGAACTGCCTTGATCTCAAGGTTCTTGATTGGGACTGGGGCAGGAGGAGGCAAGTTCAGGCTTCCACCGATCTGTTCGCGTCATGTCAGCTTCAACTCATCATCTCCTCGTGACTCACAGCAAACGCATTCGCTGGCTCGGCATCAAGCTGCTGAGCCTGTGCAGGAGAGATGGGGCTCAGCTGCTGCCAGTTCGCTGGAATCCCCTGAGTGGCTGTTTGATACTCGACAAGCTCTGAGGTCTGCAAGGACAAGAAGAGATCAGCTGATTTGAATTGCTTCTTAACAGAGAACAGATGGTGTATCGACGTCTAACAATGAAACGAACTTGCAGGCACAGAGCTGGGCTGGACGAACAGTCGGGATGATTCAAGTATACATAAACTATACACCCTCCGAGACATCAAACATAACGAGGAAAAACAAAACATGCAGCAATGACAATTATCTTTTGACAAACAGCAGTGTTGAGGTATACAAAGATCGCAACTTCAACATACCCACTACCTCTATCCACCCATGTCCCCCCGACATTCACAAAACTCACTCTTGAGGCCAAAAACAGCCAACCACACTCTAACGTGACTAATGACATCATGGTTATCATCAAGATCAAAACCCTTGTCAATCAACATCAACACGTCCGTGCTCCCACTATAATAGCATACTGCTCCACCTAACTCCATTTCTTCCATATCGTCGAAACATCATCAACGGCAGATCAAACATTCATCCTAGTCATCCTAGTCATCGTCAAGGTTTTCCGCACCTTTGGGGTCGTCCTATTCATCGTGATGATCATCGCCATCACCAGCAGCGTCCCCGCGGCTCCCGCCGCCTTCGCCGCCATGCCAGCCATGGCTCTTCGCGAGACACCTCTTCCCGCGGGAACCCTCATCCCCACTAAGTTCGATCCCTCATCCCCCCAACCTGTGCAACCACCCCCACCCCTTCTATGACCCTCTACTTGAGGGAATTATGACCCCTACTTTGACTTCGCCCCTCATCTCCCCTAAGTCCCGAATGTATGTCTTTGGCCTGGTCTTTGGCCAGGTCTTTGCAGAGGTCTTTGGCCCTCATCCAGGCCCTCATCCCCACATTACCTTTGTCCCTCATCCCCTCCTACTCCCCTCCTCGGAAAGGGGTCCAGACTACAGGAAAATAAGGGGTAGCACTTGGGTAAAGAGGGGGTGGTGGTCGACAGATTAGAGATAAAGGGGTAGTGAGAAGAGAAATCGGGGGTAGGGGTGGATATAGGCAGCCCCTGTAGAACCTAAGTGAAAATGTTCATCGGAGAAGATTAATGGAGGCCAACGAGTGATGGCGCGCAGGAGCAGGAGCAGGAGCAGGAGCAGGAGCAGGATGAGCAGCATGGGGAGAAGGAGCAGGAGCAGGAGCAGGAGCAGGAGCAGGAGCAGGAGCAGGAGCAGGAGCAGGAGCAGGAGCAGGAGCAGGAGCAGGAGCAGGAGCAGGAGCATCACTGTGCTGGACAATAAGGGAGATGACGAGATGGCGATGGCGACGGTAATATCGATGAATAAGTGTATGGTAAGGGAGAGGGGAAGGGAAAGGCACTGAGGCCATCATGATAGAAACATGCAAGGGGATTCAAGCACTTGTGGAGGGGAGGTTGAAGAGCGGTCGCGAGCTGAAGTATAGGAGGGAGATCAAGGCGATATGAGATGAAGGCAACATTCGAAATATTTGAATAGGAGACGTTTACATAGCCTTCCAGACATGATGGTGACAGACAGGCTAAACGAGTTGACATGGTGACAGACAGGCTAAACGAGTTGACATGGCAGGTGTAGCGCTGAGAGGTGTTTCCTGTTGGATTCCAGAGATCGCTTGCAAGGTCGAACAACAAGGGAGACATGAAGAGATGACAGCAAGCATCATGAACCAACATCTGCGTGCATGCACGTGTGCGGAGAGAATTGAGAAAGAGTGATGGAGGCGGGAGAAAGTTGTACATCAAACAGCCATGTTGCAGACAGCAAGACAGTGCATTCTCCTTCTGCTCCTTACGATGTTGAACTGCTCGAACGTGCACACTGAGCTCGCAGACACTATGTTCGAGACCAGGTGCTACAGTTGTTGAGTTGCGTTGAGGAGGAGGTTTTACTGAGCTGGTTCCTGTCAGGATGTGGGGCAGTTTCGAGCATCGCAACCCGCACAACGTAGGAGATGTGTCTTCATTCTTTCGAATGAGGGACGAGGAGCTGGTGGATCTGCTTCAAAGAGATTCAGGATCGTGTGACTCCCTGTGAGTTCTCTATTGAGATGTTCATTCAAGTCTCATGTATGTCACCAGAGATCAGTCGCAAGATTGCTTCTCGTCGCAAAGTGCTCAGAGCGGGAGACCGAAAAATCGTTGCCATCACATCGGAGGTTGCAACAAGCGAGCCATCTTTGGCGATGTTCGAGGGAAAGGACTGTTCTGCGCGGAGCACAGACACGAGTGAGACGATCGACCTCTGCTGGGCTTCACGTGAACCTGACATGACTGTAGGTCACACGTGGACTTGAACAGGAAGAGATGCAGGTCTTGTATTCCTCCTCCTCTACCTCTCTCCTTCCCTCCTTCCCTCCCTCCTCCCTCCCTCCTTGCTTCCTTTCCTCTTCCTCCTCTCTCCCCCTTGCTCACTCTTTCCCTTCTTGCTCCTCATTCACGTAGACGTCACGTTCACATTCAGAACAGGCATGCAGAAGGCTGCAACGAGTTTGCCAACTATGGTGACCAGCTACGAAACTCCAAACATGTTCAGTTCTGCAAGAGGCACAAGGAGATGGATCACAGCTCGACAAAGAGCTACTTGTGTAATTCACCAGGTTCTTGTTACCTTACAAACATTCCCCTCCCCTTCACCCACTGCCTCCTCAGCGTGTCCTTCTCCTTTCATCTCTCGTCACTCGCTTTCCTCCCTCACTCCTGGTTGTTTCCTCGTCCTCCCTCTCTGCCCTCTGAATCGTTTTATCCTGCTCCCATCTCGCTCTCCCCCATCCCCATGGTTGTCTCTTTGTTCTTCTCCCTCCCTCTTCTCCCTCTCTCTTCTCCTCCCTCCTCCCTCAGACTCCTTCTATCGCCTCCCTCTCTCTCTCTTCTCAATCCTCTGAACAAGGAGCTTCTAGGTTGCTGTCTTTCAGCAAGCTTCGGCCCGAAAGACACGAGAAGGCCCGTCACCTGCAAGAAACATTCGCAAACAAGTTTCGTGGACCTCCGACATGCATCATGCATCCATCACAACTGCACGAGGTGGGGGAGAGGAGGGGAGGAAGAGAGGGGGGAGGGAGGGAGAGGGAGGGAGAGGGAGAGGGAGAGGGAGAGGGAGTGAAGCAGCAGCAGCAGCAGCAGCATGCTGCCGGGTTAGAGCTGACAGGCTCATGTAACGCAGGAGGGCATACTATGGGGAGCTCGGCAAGAGCGCGCAGACTTGCTTGCTGCATCGGCGGGAAAACTTCGTAGACCTGACATCGAAACTTTGTGAGCATGCGCGAGACGGATTGAGATGCGTGAAGCAAGCAAACTTCGGATGTCTCAGTGAACGAAAGAAGGTGAAGGAGGAGAGAGGAAAGATCTGCTGAGCTGACGGCCTGCTTGCTCGCAGCGGTTTTGCTCGAGGCACAAGAGGGTGGGGGATGTCGACCTACGGCTGCGCAATAGAACGGCAGTTGAAGTTCTGCTGGAAAAGGGGAGGGGACGAGGAGAGGAGGGGAGGGGACGAGGAGGGGAGGGGACGAGGAGGGGAGGGGACGAGGAGAGGAGGGGAGGGGACGAGGAGGGGAGGGGACGAGGAGAGGAGGGGAGGGGAGGGGAGGGGGTGAGATTGGAAGGGAGCGACGGAAAGAGCCCGAGGACAAGAAGCCACGAAATTTTGTACTCGAGATATAGTTGATTGACTGCAGAAACTCCAATAATGAGATGATAGAGAAAAAGGAGAGGGAGAGGGCGGAGAACAGGACGCTGAACAATGAAGCACAAAGGAGGAGAAGAAAAGGATTGAGACGATTACACTCTTGAGTTTGTTTCTTCCAACATCTTGTTTTCTCAACATCTTTGTTAACTTACATACTCGCTCACATTCATATGGAAGCATCAAGCTGACATCCTTGCATACAATGAAGTTGAGATTCCTTCTGATCAAGATCTTTGCTTGTCGTTAAGGCTCACAAACCTTTTCCTCTACCGTCTCCTGTCCTGTCATAGGCTTCCCCTTCCCTTTCCCTCCCCTCCCCTCCTCTTCTCCCATCCCCTCCTCTTCTCCTTCCCCCTCCTCTTCTCCTTCCCCCTCCTCTTCTCCTGCCCCCTCCTCTTCTCCTGCCCCCTCCTCTTCTCCTGCCCCCTCCTCTTCTCCTGCCCCCTCCTCTTCTCCTGCCCCCTCCTCTTCTCCTGCCCCCTCCTCTCTTTCGTCTCTCTCTCCTCGTCTCTCTCTCCTCGTCTCTCTCTCATGGCCGCCTTCTCTCGTCTTTCTGACGGTCTAGTCGGTGCCTCCGACTGACCGGCTCCGCTTGTACTCCGATGCTCGTCGTATGCATTCTTCCGCCAGGTCCTTGGAGAAGGATGAACTCCGAGGGAGTGGTGATGACGTTCCAGCCGTGCCTCCCTCGCCTTCTCCTCCTCCTCCTCCTCCTCCTCCTCCTCCTCCTCCTTCAGCGGCGGCGGCGGCGGCAGCAGCAGCAGCAAGGAGGAGCTCGGGAGTGACGATGTCAGCGCCCTGGCTCGACGTCTCCCACACTCTCACGACGTCGTCGATGGTGGGTCTTCTTCTCATCTTGGCGATGACATCTGTGAAGCTCAGGTACATCTCCTTGCTCCACCTCGTGCTGCCGTCCTTGGCGATCACTTCATGTCGCGTGCTGTATGTATCCATGACGATCGCCAGCAGCATGTTGAGGATCACTAGCGAGACGAGGCAGATGTATCCAGACACCCACGCAAAGCCCAACGCGACCGTCTGAGGGTCAAGACTCTTGAGCTCCTGCCAGGTGGTCATGTCGGAGACGAGCAGCTCGAAGCACGTCATGAAGGAGACGCCGACGGAGGAGAAGCCGGTCACTTCATGCCCGAAGAGGAGGGTGCCGCTGCTGGCGAAGCAAAAGACGATGGTGAGGAAGACAAGGACGAAGTGGAAGATGTCGTTGGCGGCGGCAGCGAAAGTTTCCACGATGAGGGCGAGTCTTGGTTGTACTCGGATGACGTCGAGGAAGAGGAGGAGGAAGAGGAAGAGGTTGATAGAGCAGCAGATGCGATAGGACGAGAGATCTTTGGTCACCTTGCTGATCCGGTCCTGCCATGCCACAAGCTCAGCGTCAGCAACACACACACAGAATCATGCTGGCTGCTCCTCCCCTGACCTGCTCTCACCCTTGCCTGCCCTGCCCCGCACGTCCTCCTTCTTACCTGCACCTCCACCTCGTGTAGCAGGAAGTCTTCGGCGATGTTTGCGATGATCCCGTACGTCTCCTTCATCATCATCAAGTGCCACCAGACCGTGAGGGAGATGGAGAAGCCAGCGGTCATGTAGGAGATGACCTCCCAGAAGGTCGGCAAGCGGCGGTACAGCACGTCAGGGACGGATGACAACGTGATGAGCGTGAAGATGAGCAGGCAGACGAGCCAACCGGCGTCGCTCAGGTAAGCAGGAGCAGGGCTCAGCTTGTAAGGGTCGAGCACGATGGAGGAGATGGAGAACTCGTTGTCGATGAAGCCTCCCCTCTCGATCTGCAGCGTCAGCACGGCCTCTGTGAAGACGCTCAGCTCTCCGTTGTACAAGCTGATGACAAGCTCCACAAAGTCTGTCTGTCTGTCGATCCAATGCCTCGCTTCCAGGTACCGCACGCGTTGTGCCAGCAGCCTTGACTCCATCGTGTCGTTGAGCCAGAACCTGTACACCCCTGGCTCCCCCTCCTCCTCCGTGAAGCCCTCGCCTGCCGTCTTGGCGTCGACCAGATCTACTCCCTCTGCGAAGGGAGCAGCATCTACACACCCCACCCCCTCCTCGTGACGGGCCGGAACCTGGTCGTAGGGCGAGCACAGCGGGAGGCCGAAGGGCTCCACGTCGGGCTTGCCGCCCTTGGGGTGACAGCTGGAGCCGTAGAAGCTGTCGAGCATGTGTACGGCGCACGACGTCGGTCTGGATCGTGTCTGCTGCATCCTGACGCTCCCTAGGATCCTGTTGTACCTGGCGATCTTCCCCCAGTCGGACTTGTCGAGCTTGTCGCCTGCCTCGTCCGTCTGGACGAAGGTGATGGGGATGAAGACGTGCTCCATCCAGTCCCAGAACTCACTCACAGAGTGAACGTCTTGGAAGTGCGAGATCGAAAGATCCTTCCTCTCCGAGAACAGGTACAGGTGCTCGATCGATTTCTCCACTTCATCAACCCTCCCGACGTCGACATGGAGCATGACGGACGAGAAGAACGTCACGGCAAGTAGCACTATCAGCGGTAGCTTCACGAAGCTGCTCCTCGTCCGCCTGATGTTGGAGATATACTCCATCAGCTCGTCGTGTCTGATCGCCAGCTGATCGCGAAGGTTCCGGTGGCGGGAGCTTGCTGCCGTCCGGGCGGTGTTGGGGACACTGCTGGTCGACTCGTATACTGGGATGGTGCATTCGTCGCTCCTGCCATGCTGACGTGTCTCGCTCTCTCCGGCTGGAAGACCGGTGGGCTCCGCAAGGTCGGAGATAGAGATCTCCTCCTCATACTGCAACGGATAGACTTTGTTGGAGTGCGCAGAGGGTCTGCGCGAGGCGGGGGTGGCATTGTTCTGTGCTTCCTCTGACGGTGCATGCGATACCATCCGCCTGTCAAACGCTGTCAATCACATGGGGAGCAAGCAAGCATCTTGCAGTGATCGTAATCTACCCTCTTCCTATCATTCTTCCGCTCATGGGGGTCGCTGGCGTCAGCATGCTCTCAGCGACATGATGGCATGCTGTCTGAGGGCTGGGAGGAGGATTGTATCAGCTACGTGCTCGACTGAAGGCTGTTTGCACGTCAGTCACTACCTCGCTCCTATCCTCCGCTTCCCTCCCCTCCTGTCCGGCCTCTGCCATTATTACGCCGAATTCGGAAAAGTAAAAACATTATTACACAAGATAGGGGTGGGTGGGGTACTGCGGTGGTATGTATGACAAAATCTTTTAGGTACGGGGGTGGTATAACAGTCATTTTGGGGGGTGGAACCTAGAAGGGGTCCGTTGATCTTTCAAGGGCACTTTTAGCGACTCTGCTCATTTCTTTCTTTTTCAGTCAATGTAAGAGTGGTGCATGATCACTACTCGAGGCCCGCCCGGTCCGAGTCCGGCCGCCGCCCGGCCGGCCGGCCGTCCGTCCGTCACATGCCGAGTCCGACTCGGTAGGTGACGGTCCGGAAACTCAGTGACCCGGCTTCTCGAGGCTCCCGGTCCCGAGTCGGCGTCCGATCCGATCATCGGGCTCGGAGTCCTTCGGAACGGTACGGGGGGGCTTGCCAACACAGTGCCACGGTGTACTCAGTACGGCATCGCCAACTTGCCACACGCGGCAAGATGAGAAGAAGACCCACCTTTGCATCTATCGGAGCCACACCGTGTCCGTAGACTTCGCCGGAGCCAGGGCGCTGTGACCGTTTAGGCTTCCGATCGATGATCGTCACTCCCCGGAGCTCCGAGTTACCGTAGTTAGGCCGGGCTGCTGAACGCCCGGCCCCGGTCATCAGTCGCGGCACTGCGCGGGCGGAGACTCGTGACCCGGTAGCGCCGGGCGGCTGCTGCCGCCCGGGGCCCGCCGCCCGGCCCGGGGCCACGCCGGCCCGCCGGGCTGAGCCCCGTGGGCCGGCTCACCGTCACGGTGACGGTGGCACGGTCGTACTACGGTAGTCACTGAGTGTCGGACCGTCGCCCGCGGCGGCCGGCCCGCCGCCGCCGAGGCCCGGGCCGCCGCACAGCGGCAAGTTTTACGTGACCGTAGTCCTAGCCAAGCCGCTACTATCATGATCGGATCATCGCGGCCCGGCCGCCGGTGTGTGACAGTGGGCCCGGCCCCATCAAACCAACCTGGCACAGTGCGGCAAACTAGTTAACTGATTCACCGTGTGCCGGGCCCGTGGGCCGCACTGCATGACGGCCGCGGGCCCAGTCAGTCACTACCGTTTGCCCTAGTACCGGTAGAGCATCAGGGGGAGGGGTAGGCTTGAGGCTGTTTGCTGTGACGAAAAGAGGGTGGGTCCGAGGGTGGGTGCGGGGATGGGGGATAAACAAACGGGCGACATGCCGAGCTATGGCAGCGGCCGAGGGGGAGACGCGAGAGGGGCAGAGATGGAGGAGGAGGTGGAAGGGGAAGAGGAGTTGAAGGAGGAGGTGGCTTCGTCTGTCTCCTTCGTGTCGGAGGCCTCCGACAAGTTTGAAGAGCCTATCGAGGACGAAGGGGATAGAGAGAGTAGCGATGGATCAGTTGTGGACGTAACTGCTCTGAGAGAGCAGTACATGAGTCGCGTCATGGGAGCGGAAAGCTCAGAAGGTATCCAAGAACATGTCGATGAGGTAGAGGAAAACGAAGATGCAAGTCTGCATGGAGGAATTCCTGTATTTGAACGGGCAAAGGAAAAGGAACCGAGTATACAGGCTCAAGAGGATGGGAACTATGATGAGTATGAAGATGACTGGGATGGCGATGAAACTGCTGAAGCAGCATCCTCCAAGATAGACGAGGGAGACATCATAGTGAAATCTGTTGACGATGAAGGGCATTCCTTCCTGCCTCGCAGCGCAAACCGTGATACAGGGCACCACCTTGCAGACATCAAAGAGGACGAGGCGAGCTCGTCGAGAGCGACTTCAGCGAGTCGTGAGAGGAGTGACTATGAGGAGGATGCGGATGAGAGTGAAGCGCAAGCCGATGATCAAGCCGCTGTGATCGACGAGGACGAGATCCCTGAGATGGCCAAGAGATCGAGGAAGAAGCACAGGTTTAGCATTGTCTTGCATCATACCATGCAAGCCTCTGAGGCTCGCGAGATGTCTGGAGCACCCAAGACTGCATGGTGGAGAGGCGGAGCCTTCACCATGAAACAAGCAGCTTGTGTTGTCCAGCGAAACATCCGCTCCCACCAGGCCCGGCAAAAGTTTCACGACTTGTACACGGAACGGATTCAAATAAGAGACGCCAAATTCAGCAAAGAGCTGGTTCGGACGATGTTTGAAGCGTTCGAGAGGGGAGACCTGGAGCGAACGAAGATGATCGTCTTCCAAGACCCGAGGATCATCAACGTCGTGGGAGTTGACGCATGGCAGGGCGACACTCTCATACACCTTGCAGCTCGCAAGGGAGACGCCCCCATGCTTCGCTTCCTTCTACGACAGGAGGTCAAGGCAATCTGCATGGCCAACAGCCTTGGGCGAGAACCTCTGCATGAAGCAGCCGCGCGGGGACATTTTGAGGTGATCAAGGCGCTGAGAGACGGACGTTTCTACACGAGGAACGCGCGGGACGGCAAGTCGTGGACAGCCTTGCACCATGCGGCTCAGATTCAAGGGCAGCTGGGGGCAGACATCATTCACTTCCTGTGCCGCATGATGAACTTCTCTGTGGACGACGAGGTGCTGCAGCGATGTGAGGAGAGGGGTGTTCGCAAGGGCGATACCGCCCTGATCATCGCTGCTAGATGTTGTAACGACCAGGCGGTCCGATGGCTCCTGGAGTTCGGGGCTGGAATCCGTCACCTCAACTTGCCGGATAGAAACTCAGCACTCCATGAAGTGATTCTTGCCAGCAGACACCCTCAAGTGAACTACAAGAAACTGTTGCAAGTCGTCAAGACGATCATCTCTGCTGGAATCGATGTGGATGCGTACAATGCCGATCACATGACTCCCCTGCACTTGTCGTCTTCTGTTGGGTCTCATCGCCTATTGGCGTATCTTCTCTTGTACACCAAGGCCAACATACACGCCAAGACGAAGAAAGGCTACACCTCTCTGCACTTGGCCGTGGTAGAGGGGATGGAGAAGTGTGTGAATATCATTCAAAACACAAAACCAGAGGCCCTCGACGACTTGGACGACCAAGGGAATACTGCTCTGCACCTGGTCTGCCTTGCCAAGAACCCCCAAGGAGTCTTAAAGGCTCTGCTGGGATTCCGAGGGATAGACGCTGAGGTGAAGAACAGACAAGGCCAGACAGCAGCAGAGATGGCGATCGCGATGGGGAAGGTGGAGATAGCGGCAGCAATCAACAAGTACGTGGTCGATGAACGATCTAGCGCTGCCAAAGAGCTGAATGAGCTCGAGCTGAAGCACAGATCCGCGTCCATTATCCAGAAGTTCTACAGAGAGAAGTCGAGCTCGCTCAAGTCGCTCAAGAGTTGTCGCAGCGACGGGGAAAGTCCGAACAGCCGTCATGATCGATTGTCTGACGTCAGAAGGGTCAGAAATGAACCTCTCATCAAGGCGTTTGTCAAGAACTTCGTCGACAAAGAAGCTGTCGACACGGTAGATGATGCCACCGCACATGATGGGAGAGGCGAGGTCGATGAGGAGCGACAGAACCTGTCTCGAAAGTTCGTCGCCATGTTTGCCAACGACAAGATGTACAAGCACTTCACGCATTGCTCGGATCGGTCGTTCAAAGCTAACGAATCAGTGATGACCCATGAAGATATGCTGAAACTTCTGAGCTCGTGCGGGCTATTGGAAGACATCATACCTCGCTCTCGAGTTCACGACCTCTTCTACTCCTCGTCGGGATCTATCTTTCAGCAGGAGTCGAAGCTGGGATTCCGAGAGTTTCAGAAGTTCATGCAGGAAGTCTCACTGGGGGCGGACAAGAGAGTGCTGGCGCATCACATTCACTTCATTCACGACGTCCTGGTTCACAAGAGCCAGGAGGCGGTCTCCCTTGCCCCTCACGCAAGTTGGCCTAAGAGTCCCTTCTGGGTGGAGAAGTCTGAGTACCTGCCGACCGTGACCTCTCTGACGGAGAAGAAACATCATCTGACTTCAAGTCGCTCCCACCTCTCGAGCTCTAAAGGCAGCAGAAGTCCCATGCTGTCTTCCCCGGTATCGAAACCCTCCTCGCCCAACCGTAGGGCCCTCCTCGACTCCTCTCGCGCATCTCCGACTCGAAGCAAGTCGAGGCTGCTGGAGGACGTGAGGGCGGCAGAGGCAAGCGACGACGACATGGTGGACGGCGTGTTCAGGTCGCGATCGAGCACGTCGCTCTTGTACGCGAAGAAGAAGCCTGTGGAACACGCGAGGGCGTCTCGTCGTTTTTTCTGGGCTGCTCGAGGGTGTTCGCGGAGCTCGAGTGAGATGATCACAGGTAAGGTCATCCGAGGCATCGCCGACATCTCTCCTCTCCTCAAGCCCGTGTGGGTTGAACACACTCCCGCCATCGTTCCCATGCCCTACTTCTTCGACTCCCTCCATGAAGACGCCTACAAGAAAAGCTTCGAGCTGGGAGATTATATCGGATGCTTTGACGTGCTGGAGTCTAGCTTGAACCGAATCTCCTTCAAGGCCGAGCCTCGCCTTTACGAGCGCGTCTACTGTCAGGTCATCGCCTTCTGCATCCGCTACGCCTCTCGCTGCATGAAGGCTCAGAACGCGCCCACAGCCGTCTACCTCCTCCAGAAAGCCGAGCACATGTCCCAGCAGGTGATGCCGGGACAGCTGTCCTCGAGCTGACGTTTGCATGCAGAAACTCTCTGAGCTCCATGGGATAGCTGGCTTGTACGCCTGGACCATGGACGCGCTCGCCCACTACTACTTCCTGCGCTCCAAGTTCAACGCAGCCTACAGGTCGGGAGTGAGGCATGTTGGCGTCGACTGACAGGAGAGAAGGTGCATGATGAAGGCCATGAGGTACATGAGCATGATCAAAAGCGAAGAGAGCAAGGCTGCCTGGAAGTCGCACCTCTGCGTTATCCTCCTTGCCCTCAACAAGAACGTTGAGGCCGAGGAGTACATCAAGGATGCTATGAAAGGCTTCTTTCAAAGGTCATCCGCCGTGTACCGACCCTCTGAGCTAACGACCAGCGTCCAGGAACGACGAGGTTTTGACACAAGATGTCATTTTCGACCTTGTTCCCAAGGCTCAGCAGCACCTTGCGGCCGTTCTCTTCCTTGACCTGGCGATCTGTCAAGCGAAGCTGCTCAGATACGACGAGGCTCTCAACACCTCACAGTTTGCTGTCTTGTTTGTGCAAGAGGTGAGGGAGGGCAACGTACTTCAAGCTCGCGTCCAGGTCCTCTGACACCTCTCCCCTCCAATGATCAGCTGACCTTGATGCAGAACCTTCGCGATGCGCTGGAGACGTACAAGCGAGTGAAGGAAGATCCGCCTGATGCCCAGCAGCTCATGGGGACTTCGCACGACCAGGCACACGCTCAACAGTCCTTTCCTCATCTTGTATCCAATTAGTTTGCTGAGCCAGATGTTTGTACAGTAAAATTCTTTCACTCCGTAGAGCTCGGAAGTTGTTGGTGACTCGGATACTTGAAGCAGTCCTTGTGACGAGTTTCCGTCCATTCTTTCGCCTTCACATCGCCGATCACAGTAAGAATGAATGGACGTCGCCAGAGCAAGTAGAGGAGGACTGACTTCAGCAGGCTGGTGTCAGGAACCACCTTCAAGTCAAGGGCAGGAGTGACCTTCTAGACCTCCGATCATGGTCAACCTCAAGTTTTACTCAACCTCTTTAAAAGTGTTTTTAGCTGGATTGCGTGTCATTTACCTTTATATGTATTGTACGAGTACAAGTATTTAGTTTTACTTGAACTATATAAACCTGACAGGAAAAAAATGTGTAGTACATCGAATCGTACCTAGATCCCATAGCTCTGCTTAATCCCCCGATTGTAAAAGTGATTTAATGTTTATAATATATATAGTGCAGGGTTCACTAGTACCTTCAAGGAGGGACCATGACACGTTCGCACCCCCTCTGCAAGTATGAGATGTTGAAATTCTCACTCGAAATTTTTGTGTTGTTTCGCCAAATTTACTCCAAGAATTATGTGGAGGACTCTAATCATTCAAGGATCAGCTGGAGAGTTCGGACGCAGCCTTATATTCCGTGAATGGGCCCCAAAGTCATTCCAAGCTGTAGTAAATTTGGTAGATGTGTAGACTCCGAAAGGGGTGGGGTGATACGCAGGATTTGACCTCGTTGGGTGGGGTAAACAGCGATTAATGAAGGGGTGGGGGTACTAAAAAATAACGTGCAGGTGGGTGGGCGAGAAATTTCAAGAAACAGCTCCGAGGGGGTGGGTGGTAGGTACAAGGTGCGGGGGTTATGGGATTCTGTCAATGTGCACCAGCGGCCTGTAGGGTGGTCAAGGAATATCTAACCGGTGGGTTCAAAGTCGTTACTTCCTGCCTCTGAAAAAGAGGGGTCCAATACTATTGAATGCGGGGTAGAGAAGTGAGTCAGCTGACAATCGGGGTAGGGTATGAAGAGGTGGGGTGCAGAGGGGTCAGAAGGAAACAACTGGGGTGGGGGTGGATGCGGGGATGATAAAACGAGGGGGTGGAATTGACGTAGGACACTGATGATGAAATGGTGGTGGGAAGCAACGCAAACTGTGGCGATGCGAAGGAGGGAGGGGAGTGAGAGATGGGGGAGGAGGATGAGGGATAGGAGGAAGGAAAGTCAAACAGATCTAGATATGGTGAATGCAGAACCAGACATTGACAGTAATTGTGCAGGAAGGAAAGAGGTAGAAATTTATGGATAGGATTAGCGCAAGGCGATCTGAGTTGGGGGATAGCAAAGAGAGAAAAAGGCAAAGGTAGTAGGAATCAAACATCATGATCTTGTGTCATCTTCATCTTCTATTTGTTCACGATTTTATCTCCTTATCGCGAATTTTGAGCATCGGAATGGTGGTGGATACAGATTCGGGCAATGAACCCAGCCACGAGTTTGCTTGTCATGGGCTAACCGAAGTTGCCACTTTGCAGACTTCTTGAAACACCAACATGCTTGTCGCTCCAAAATTAGCTTCTTCTTTTGCTGCAAAAGATGCAGCAGCAGAGCCAACGAACAGCTCAGACACTCCGAGGGACGGTGAGATCAGGATGTATCGTCGCCAATCGACAGCTGAAGTAGGATGTCCCTTTGATCCCTTGAATTCTGTGTCAACCAAACTTCTGACTGAGAGCCAGGATCTGTTGAGGAAGCTAGATCGTCTCAATATTGAGCTCGAAGGAACGATGAACTCCATGGGCGCCACATTATCATTAGCGGAGAAGTAATTCAATCTCCTCTGTTGCCTTCTGCGAAAGAACCTTGCTGATTCTCTCCTAGCATCCGAAAGGATGCTGGAAACTTGATTGCATCCTGGTTTTCGAACCTTCATCCTTCGGAGGTTTGACTACCCTTCGTTGTGTTGCGCAAGTTGACCGGCAAGCGTTTCTTGACAGTTATCCGAGAAGATCAACCAAACATTCGACAAGTTTGACTACAAGAAGACAGGCGTTCTTGACAGGTGTTTAGTTGATCATTTCTTTGTTTGCTCATCACTCGTGTGACAGGGAAGAGTTTCACAACGCGTTCGCTTCCATGGGAAAGAGGCTCGCTAGCGGAGAGTTGGACGTCCTCATCACTGATTTTGACACAAGCGGTGACGGGACGATAGATCGGGTTTTCACTTGCTCATTTCATGTTTTCGACCTCATACAAGATATGATCGCAGGAGGAATTTGAGCATATGATTCGGACAGAGCTGAAATCACATTGCAAACTTACATGCAAGTCTTGCAAGCTGTTGAGAAAACGATCCAGCAGCGCGGTAGATCATTTTGTTGTTTGGTGGAAAATAATGTTCCTTTCAGATGGATGCCATCTCTCAACGAGCTGCAGTCATTATCCAAAAACTCGTGAGAGGGATGCAAGCAAGGAAACTTATTTCATCTCGGAGAAAGGCGGCTTGTGTAATACAGAAGGTGTATCGCGGTCGAATCATCAGGAAGCAGGTCAAAACGATAAGATTTGCAAAAGCAGAGATTGAAA